CCACCATGTCTTTTCTGCCTCCCCTTCTGGGCCAGTTCTGTGACCCTGAGGAGGACCAGGTGGGACCCCATTGTCCAGCAGAGCCTGGAGCTGGCGTGAGTGGTCAATGGGAACGGGTGGTGGCTGAGAGCAGATTGTGGGTGCAGGTTCTGGCTGGGCTGGGCAAGGGGGCCACCTCGTGGGTGGGGCTCTCTCTGCCAGGCCTTGGCAGACCCTCTAATAGTCTCCAGCTAATTTCTTGTGCCCTGCCTCACATTCTCCTACGTTTCTGGCCAGCATGGCAATCCCTCCACCCACACCCACACCTACTATGGAGATGGCAGGGCGGAGAGGGGTCCTTCAGAGAGGGAGTCCATGTCAGTGTGGGAATCTGGAGGCTCATGGACCACTCAGCTGTCACCCTGTGGCCCGGGCACAAGCCAAGGCCCGAAGCCCTGGGTGGGTCTGTTTCATGTGGCAGTCATGCGTGAGGAGTGGACGTTGGCATCAGATCTGGGTTTGTGCGCCAGCTCCACTGCTTACCAGCTCTGTGACCTGGGGGATAATAACTCACTCATTGATCGTGACGAGGATCCAATGAGGGGCCCTAAGTAAAGCACCAGGTTTCTTGTCTGGCTCTAAGAGGAAGCCCCGTTAAGAGTTCGAGTTCCTATTCCTTCCTTCTAGAGGTTCCTGGTAAATAGTAAGGAATCGTCTGACCCTGGTTTGGTTGAAAGGAAAATTCATCTCTCCGCTTAATCAGGTGGGACTAAACTACAGAATATTGCTAAACCAAGAGCCGAGATAAAAAAAAAAAAAAAAGTTCAAATGATTTGGCTGCTTGTTTTTAATAAAATCCTGGCGGTAGAGTGGAATCTTTCAGAAAAAGCTCAGCTTTGCCGTACTGGTGTCTCAGGCTGCTGTTAGCTGTATTCATGCTGTTGTTAGCTGTATTCGGGACAGTGTGACCTTGAGAACAGAGCCCACTGTGACCTTGAGAACAGAGCCGTGTGGGGAGGACCACTCTCTCAGAGGCTGCAGGGACTGGTGGGAAGGCAGGAGGGACCTCAGGGGAGTGTCTCCTGCCCCTCCCAATGCGCCTCTCCCTATCTGCACAGGCTGAATGTCACTGCCCCTCTGGTTCTCCCCTTGGCTACAGCCCAGTGGTAGTGGCTAGTCAGGTGACTGGCTCCAGCCTCCGCCTGCTCTTTGTGGTGAGACTGGGGGAGCTGCCAGTTAGACTGCCTGTGCAAGCTCACCATTTCCGGGTTCCAGTACCTCTTACTCAGGTGTGGGGTGAGGTGGGGGCAGCAGCCCTTCAGAGGGGAGATGAGCTGGCACAGGACAGCCCTGTTACCAGCTCAGCCTCTTTATGCGATGCCAGGGTGGAGCCTGGGCAGCCGTGTGCAAGGCGCCCCTTTTCATCAGCTCTGTCTCAGCGCCCTCGGCAGCCTCCCAGAGACAGTGTGGAGGATGCCCTTCCTGCATTCGTGTCAGGCAGCGTGGCCCAGGCTCTCCTCTGAGAGCTGCAGTGCCCGGGACATCCCTGAGTTCTGTCCCGGAGCCTGGGGTCAGGGGCAGGGTGGAGGCGCTGCCATCAGGCTTGTTCTGTGGGGCTGGATCTCCATTCCTGAGCCTGCAATGGCGAGCACAGATGCATGCCGCAGGGAGGAAGAGCCCCCGGACAGGTCTCAGCAGGCAGCCGAGCTGACAAGTTCAAATACAGCCTGAGCCCCATTATCCGGGCAGCCTTGGAAAGAGTACTGGGTGGTCGTGGGGAAGCTCTGAGGCAGGGAGGAGGGGGACTTGTGCCCTGAGAAATGAGGAAACCAAGCCTGGAGGGAGAGAAAGAGATTCCCTTTTGCTGCTCATCAGTGATGATCCTGTCATCCAGCCCAGGACTCAGGTGGGGTACTGGGACCCTGGTGTTCAAACCTGCCCACCCTCGCTTTGTAAGCCCTCCTGGGCCCCACAGGGCACCTCAGTTTCCGGTGTCTGACCTTCCGGTTTGGGTCAAGCACTTGCCGAGTGGGGAGAGGCCCTCGCCTGCAGCGGGTCCCAAGGGAGAGGTGCCTCGGCTTGGCAGGGGCTGTTCCCAGGACTCTGGACACCACAGGGATGACAATGATGACCGGGCAGGACCCTGACACCCAGATTGACTCAAAGCTGCCAAGAAGGGTCAGAACTCGGAGCTCAGTTGCTGATCAGGCCGCCTTATCCTGGCCTCACTCAGCTCTGGCCCTGGGCACGAGGCTGCCCACTCATTGCCCCTTGTAGAAAGCGGAGGTGACATGAGTACCCACTTCAGAGTGGGGGACTGCGCAGGCCGGTGCCGAGGGCTCAGCACAGCGCAGCAGCAGGCATGGAGTCCTGCCGCTTCAGGCAGCAGGTGTCCCGTCTCCCCTGTTTACTCCTGGCATGGAAATCCTCCTGGCACGGCCCCTGGCATGTGCCTGGAACAAGCTCTACAAACACACGTGTTGGCTGTGATGGTTATTGTGGGGATGTGCGGAGAGTATTGGCTGTGGCCGGGCCCCCACACCTGTTCCTCCTGACAGTCCCAATAAACACATTGTTTTCTTGGGATTTTCTCCTCCTACCCTATGAGCCAGTCCGAATCCACTGCCAGGGGCTGGTGTCCTGAGAAGGAGTGACTCGGCATTGGAAACCCTGTGGGGATCTCTGAGTTCTCAGCTACTCCACGAACCTCCTGTTCTTCCACTTCGTGATTCCGCTGTCTTTCCTGCCTGTCTGCTCAGCTGCCCCAGGGAAGAACCTGGGAGATAGTAGGAACCTGGTGTCTCCCCACCTTCTCACCCTGCTCCCTGATGCTTGTCCCTTGTCCCCGGGGAGTCAGGTGCGGAGTGTCACTGCCTAGGGAAGTTGCCGTGGGCCCTGCCATGCCTCTCTTCCGGAGGAGGAGGCTGTAACTTTCCATGGTCTTTGGGAAAGGGGGAAGCTGTGCTCCCTCCCATCTGTGTCTGCCTCTCGCTGGCTCAGTATTGCTCCAAGTTTTACGCTGGAATCCCCTGAGCAATCTCCAGCCCCCACTTCCCACCTTCGTATGAAATTTAAGGGCAGATTTAAAGCAATTGGAAAGTACCTTACAGATCAAATGCCCGTCAATAGCTTTTCAAAGGATAGTTTTCAGCTGCAATTAGAAGAGACCTTGAATGCATTACTGCTCACCCCAGAGACGTTCTTCCAGAATGTGGCTCTTCGGACACCAGCTGGGGTACTGCAGTCCTTCCGGCCACTGCCCGCCCAGAGTTGGTGTCAGACTCCCCAGTTTAAGGGTGAAGGCCCCAGTAAGACTGCCAGCCACATGTGGGGTCCCCAACGACACCACACTCTGACCAATTGACTACAAAGCCAAGGGCTCCCATGACCCTCCTCCGGCTCCATCATTCACCAGAGCGATTATAAGGTACCAGTTTTATTACAAAGAAGAAAGATCAGGAACAGCCAGACGGAGAGACGTGATGGGCAAGGTGAATTCAGTAGTGGTGGTGGTATCAGCTGTTTACCTGCTACCCACCTCCTTTCCGTGTTAAGCATTTCCTGCGTGCCTGGCACTTTTATTTCATTTCTACTACTGCCCTTTGAAGCCTCTGATGTTATCTCCAAACGAGGCATTGAGGTCCAGAGGGGCAGGGACCACCTCAGAATGATGGCGCTAAACAGTACCCCAGCGAGGATTTGGATCCAGCTGACCCATTCCCGGTCAAAGATGGAGCCACCTAAATTTGTCCCAAACACAGTCCAACAGATGTCCCTTCTGGCTAGAAGACTATTGTCTTTACACCTGTGGGCTGACAGGAGGTGGCTGCCCTGGTCTGTGAGATGTTGTACCACTGAGGCCTCAGAGAAGGACCTTGCCCAGAGAAGCCCCGTGGGTCACCCTGCTCCATTCAGGCAGTGACCAGCTCCCCCACCAGGTGGACACCGTGGACATCCGATCTGAGAATCGGGGAGAGGCAGCCTGGAGAACTCCCGGGTGCTGGCTCTCCTGCTTTCCCAGCAGGGTTGTGTGTTTCTGGCAGCCGGAGCAGAGGGGACTGTGAGCTAAGCTCAGCCATGCCAGTCCCTTCTGAGCCTCCTGGGGCCATGGCATACTTGGTGGGACAGTGTAGAGAAGCATTCCATACTGGGCCTGACCTAACAGATGTTCCTTCCTCCCCTCCCAGATGATAGAAATGCTACAGTGGGTTTTTCTGCCACTGCCAGGCCCCGGGGGACCTGCACATGGCTGGGTCAGAAGCCAAACACTGCAGTTAGGGAGATAAGCAGCACTTCTGGGATCCCGAGAGACTGCCTGGTTCTCGTAGCCACAGCAGAGGTTCTCAGGGCATTTGCAAATGAGGGCGGGTGAAGGAGCGAAGCAGGCAGGGAGGAGAATCCAGGGTTGTCACATTAACGGGATCCTGCTGGAACTTACCCAGCAAGGCCCAGGGATGCTAACCATCCTGCAAGGAGCTGGACAGTCAGGCACACTCTCCAAAAAAAAAAAAATAGTCATGCCTGTGACAGACACTGGGCAATGGCTCATTTGCACCCCCTGCTGCCCGGCTCCTTAGAAAGCCACTTCCTCAGCAGCCTCCAGGCTGAATGAATGGGAATTAAACAACATGTGACCAATGACAAGGCAATGTTTCCAGAAGAACGCAGGCCAGTGAGAGGAGCATCCGTCTTGCACGCACTTGCTCCAATCCTTCATAGATGGCTCTGGTGTCCGTTACACTCCTGAGGGCCAAGAAAGATGTTGGAGCTGGGAGGTGAGAATTCACGGGGCAGGGACAGGCCTCCTTCTCGGTGCCTGGCAAGAACTCCCCTGCAGCCCAGCCGGTGTAGACTCAGGTGCCTGCTCTGGGTCCCTCTCCCAGGGTCTGCCTTTCACTCCTGTTCCCACATCTCATCTCTCCTGTGGGCTTTTTTGTTACCTGCTGTCTCCACGTGAAATGTATTTAGAGGAACCTGGCTCGGATGCCGTGGCTGAACCCCCCTCTCTTCTTGTTTTACAGTCGGGAAGACGTCTCTGATCACGAGATTCATGTACGACAGCTTCGACAACACGTACCAGGTGAGGTCCCGGAGACCCTGTTCCCCGTCACTGCAGCCTGTAGCCAGGGCAGCTGCCCGGAGACGATGCTGGTCTCTCTCTGGGGCTTGCTGGTCCTGAGATGAGAATAGGATGTTCCCAGGGCCCAGCGCATTGGTTTTGCCTTGAAGGAGCCTCCCCTCTATGCACTTGCCCCAGCCCAGTAACAACTCTGAGCCCTTCGGAAGGTGCAAACCTCGGCAAAGGAAATGTTTTCCAGGAGAGAAAGGACATGTTTCAGTCTGCGTCACCTTGCTGCCCGTGGGCAGGTCTAACATTACAGGGTTTGGTTACGTGGGTGGGTTGTCACCTGGAAGAGGTTGGACAAGATGCAAAATAATGGAGGTGAAATAGCAGCAGGAGAACTTGTTCCTTGAGCATGGTTATATTTGCTGGACCTCATGCATGGGCATGCACACACTCAGGCACACAGATGCACACAGTTGCTGAGGCTCTCTCTTCCCTGAGGAGGTTGATGTGATGGGCTTGTACGGCTCTACGTGGGCAGGAGGCTGGTGGAGTGACCCCTGGCTCCTCATGCTCACGGTGGTCTGGGGTCAACCAGTGGCCCAGAAGGAGCTCCAGGTGGCCCAAAGGCTGAGCTCTTGGGGGTCGGTAACATTTCATTTACCTGGCACGGGTGACAGAGAGGTTTGTGCAAATGAAGTGGATTTTCCTTAAAATTATAGCTCTTTGCAAAAGGCACCACATTTAATCATTTCAGTTATTTTTAAGGAAAAAAAAAAAGTTTCTTCCTCAAAGCAGAGACAAATAAGATGCATTTTCTAAGCCTGTGGGACCTGTGAGGTACCAATTCCAAGGCGTGTACGTAGATTTTATTTGAGAAGAAGGCAGGCAGGGGGGTGTAGTACTTGTGTATATTTAGGGAACACTGATGAACAAAAGGAAATCAACTTACTCCTGCAGGACTTCCTTGACTGCATCAACGTGTGGTCTTGGGCCAAAAGGGGGTGTAGTGTGCAGAGTCCCCTAGATGTATCTGGCTATGGAATCTTTGTCACCGAGTCCTGACAGGGGACATATTTGTAGAGCACACTGGGGAAGGCTGGGTCAGAGGTCCCTCTGCCTTCCTGGACTGACCCAGGATGCGGAGCACAACTCACTGCCCACTGCAGTTCCAGTCTTCTCTTCAGTCTGGGTCTTCCCCTGGACTAGTCACCGTCTTTGCCCCAGATACAGCCCCCCTCTCTGCCTCTCTCAAATGTCCTGCTTTTCCTCTGCAGTCGTCTGAAATGCCGGGGAACTAGTGGACTTGATGGAAGGGTCAGAACGTGAGGCTCTGGGGGAGGGGCCCTGGGTGACATGCACAGCCCTAGGCACCGGCTTTGGGAGGTGGTCTCAGCCTCACTGCCTTCGTTATATGCGTTCCAGGCCGGGGCTTTGCACCAATACAGCCTTGGCAGAGGCCAGGCCTCCCCACAAGGGGAGTTCTACCACACGGATCTGCATCTGGGATTCCATCCTCACAGATTTCCGTTCTGGAGTATGACCTAGTATTCAGTGTGTGTGTGTGTGTGTGTGTGTGTGTGTGTGTGTGAGAGAGAGAGAGAGAGAGAGAGAGAGAGAGAGAGAGAGAGAGAGAGAAGAGATTCTATTTGAAATTTTGAATTATCGAATACTTATTATGCCTCTTGGTGTCCCATTGACTTCAGTGAGACACTTGGCTGTTTGGGGTTCTTGGCAGTGGTGGATGGTGACAGTGACCTTTGCAGTGTCCTCATTGCATGAATCACCTCCTCCCCATGTAGTTTGAGTCCCTCAAAAATCTCAGCCCACCTTTCTCCAGTGTCCGCTTGCTCACTGCTTGTCCCGGGGTCCAGAGGCCCACTTGCTGGCCGCTCCCCACACAGTGGCACTGCCCCAGCCCCACACCTTGACTCATGGTATCCTCTCTGCTGGAACTCCCTGCCTTCTCTGCTGTGAAATATTCTTGTGACTCATCAAAGCTCAGAGCATGTTTGCCTGTGTTCCGCCCCCTCCATGGCACCCTCTCCCTTATCACGCTGCCCTGGGCTCTCGTGGCCTCCTGACTCCACAGGAGCTCCCTGTGCTCTGGCTCCTGGGTGGGCTCTGGGCATGGCTGGGGCCACGACCTCTCAGATCCACCACTGTGCATGGCCCCAGCCCCAGGCCTGGCCGTAGCTGGTGTCAAACGCCTGTTGGTACCAACACTCTCTGCCTTGGTTTTAGACCCACCACACTGAGAGGCAGAGGCCCCATGTCACTGTGGTGAGAGGGGAGCAAGCCAGGTGCCCTCGCACTGCAGGCTTTCTGACTTCTTTTCCCAGCAGGTAGAGTTTCTTCCCTGAAACCCTTTAAGATGGTAATTAGGCTAGGAGGCCAGGGCTCCAATTCCTTGTGCACACAGGCTCATCTTAATGAATTCTCTGGAGAACAAGGAAAGGGGGAAGTGTTATTTTGTTTGCTTTTCTTAACTCAGTGGCAGAGACATTTGGAAAGTAGACAAGATCCCCCAGGAGCTCTGGGGGATGTTCCTTGTTGTCCCCAGCATGGTGACTACTCCCAGCTACCCCCATGCACAGCCCACCCATCGGCCAGGACCGCCCTGCAGAGCCTGCCGCCAGCCCACCTCAATTAGCTGAGGTGCCCAGACAATTCCCAGAACCAGTCCCCGTGCCTTCCCTCCCATCCTTTCTGTGTGCCTCTGGCTCTGCCTCCTGCCCCCTCCCTCCACTCATTCTGACAACAGATGTTTGTCAAGTGCTTACTTGCTTGGAGAGAAAGTAGGAGAAAATAGAATCTGACCCCACCTTCAGCCTTGCGTGGAGGGTAGGGGGCGGGAGGGTCAGCCTCATGTGGGTGGCAGTCAGCCCTCCCTCTGCCTGGGGCTGAGCATGCTGAGGCCTTGAGGGGCTGGCATGAGGACGCACCTCTCAGGGACCCTATCCACCTGGCAGCCTGTGGGCCCCTGGAGAGCAGATCTGCTGCTGCTGCCTCCTGCCTGGCACTCCCCTCAACACACCTGCACCTTGTTCTCCTCTTGGCACATGCATCCCAGCCTCTGCCACTCTGCTCACCACCCCACCTAATCCACTCACTAGAAGCAAAAAATGAAATTGACGAGCATCCTGGTGAGAGTCATAGATTCACAAATCTCTTGTATAAGCCCCCAACTAAGAAATTATTTTCAAAATTTGCGATGGGAGAAACCTCCTTGTACCTGTGCTGTGATGAGTCTTGACCCCCTGTGGCCAGGCCTCCCCTCTCATAGGCCAGCGAAACACACCTGCGGGCCTGGTGCGTGGGCCGCCTGCTTGAAACCTGCACTAGAGCCGTGTGGGTGGTCTCAGGCCTCTGCAGGTGGCCACTGGGGGTGGGAGGGAGGATTAGGAGGCAGCGAACTCCAGGGTTTCTCATGGGTCCTCTATCTTGGCTGCACTTTAATATTTCTTACTGGGAGTATGGGCCAGGAGATTCACAGGCCGGCTCAGTCATTGGTACTTTTTAAATCTCAGAGGTGATTGCAATGAACTTGTAGACAAGGCTGGAGCTGCTGGACCACCCCTGGACCGTGCGCCCACCTCAGCACAAGTTAGGAACCCCCAGGAGAGGGTCCCGGCCTGCTGGAAGTTCCCTCGCTGCTCCCCGGAGTGGAGGAGCATTTCTGGAGGAACACGGAGCTTTACCTGCCTTGGGGCACGCCTGGGGACCCCGGGAGCCAAGGGAAGGGGACAGAAGCTGAGTCCTCGGAGCCCTCACACGCGGAGCAGTTGCCTGAGGAGCTCTCACCCCTGGCAACCTGCCTGCGCTGCCCGAGGCTTTCCTCTCCAGCCCCCAGGTCTGTGTGAGTTCCCAGGAGCTGCCACAACACATTACCACAGACAGGGAGGCTTAAAACCACAGGGATGATCCTTCCACAGTTCTGGAGGCTACAAGTCTGTAGTCAAGATGTGGCAGAGCCACGCTCCCTGCAGAGGCTCTGGGAGAGGATCCTTGCCTCGTGCAGCCTCCGGGGCTGCAGGCCTTCCTTGGAGCGGGGCTGCGCAGCCCTAATGCCCGCCTCCATCTTCATCTGGCCTTCACTTCTTGTCTCTGCGCATCCTCTTCTCTTCTCACGAGGACACCAGTCATTGGATTTAGGGGCCCACTCTGAATCCCAGATGATTTTTCATCCCAAGAGCCTTAACTGATTACATCCACAAAGGTCCCCTTTCCAGAAAGGTCACATGCTGAGGTTCCAGGTGGACAGAATTTTCAGGGACACTCTTCAACCCGATGCTGGGCTCTGGCACCTCTCAGTCTGATCCCACTCTTTTGGTGAGCATGTACAAATTAGGAATGTGGTCCCCTAGTACAGAAAGCTGACCAAGTGGCTTAAACAAGGAAAGGTTTTGCCTTCCCAGATGCAGGAAGTCGTGGTGAGACCTGAGGTGGCACAGCTGGGCAGTGATGCCGTCAGACCCAAGGCCCTTGCTCTCGTGCTGTTCCACCTTCTTGCTGTGTGGGTTCTCGTCTTCGGGCAGGCTTGCTGTTGCTGCTCCAGACAGCACGTCTGCATCGAAGGCAGCAAGAGCTGCCTAGTGTGGCTCAGAGGTTGAACACTGACCCACAGACTGGAGATCCTCCAGGGACCAGGAGGTTGCCGGTTTGATTCCCAGTCAGGGCACATGCTCAGGTTTGCAGGTTCGATCCCCTATCCCCAGCAGAGGGTGTGCAGGAGGCATCTAAAGGATGCTGATGTTTCTCACTGATCTTCTTTCTCTCCTTCTCCCTTCCTCTCTCTCTAAAATCAATAAAAACCTATTTTAAAAAAAGAAAGAGCTACCCTAGAATACCTTCTCCCTCCGAGCAGATTGTGGCTTTTGTCTTATTGGTCAGAATTGGGTCACATCATCACCCTTAACCTCTGGAGAGGCTGGAAAAGCAGAATTTTGCTTTTACAGTCTCTAGGCAAGCAAGGGAATAAGAGGTTGCCAGTGGGTAATGGGTGGCATCTCCCCAGGGCCTGCCAGTAGCTACTGGTGAATCCCCAGTAGCTCCATTTTATAAGTTGAATGGACCCATGATGCAATTCTCTGCCCCATATCTTAGTAATCCTTCCTAATTCACTTTGTAGGTTATACTTAGGTAGCTCTATTTTTTTTTTAAATAAATATTTATTGCTCATATTTTAGGTAGCTCTTAGACAACCTCAAAGTCCATCACCGGGAGCATCTTTTGCCCTAATTACTAAAGGCAGCTTATGCATAACATCTTTATGTGACCCTTCAGGAGACTGCTCAGGGATCCGTGAGGGGATTGACTGGTTTTGATGAAATGTAACCCCTTGTTTAAAGTTGGAAGGTGCATGTTGTTTGGTTGATGTTTCAAACCACAGTCAGGAAATAAAAGAGCAATCAACAAATATCCCGATGAGTGTTGACTAGCACAAGCTTCTCTCCTCTAAGAGGAAGTGGCCACCAGGACTGTGTAGACTTTGAAGCTGAGGTTCCTGTGCTGTAGCCTCGTACCTAGCACCCCCTTCCCCAGAGCACATAGCTGCTGGCAAGGACAGACCCTGCCCAGCATGTTTTCCAGGGACTACTGTCTTCTTCCCCACAGCACCCGCTTGCCAGTCTGAATGCTTAAGTTTTGCCAACCTCATTTGCATGCTAATTTGCATGACTTTCTCCTGGTACTCTCATCTAATGGTTGGTGGTGTGGAGCCCAAACAGCAGCTCCATTGTCAAGGGCTTGTCAGGCCCGGCTGCTTTCTGCCACTTAGGGATGCTTCCCCAGCCATGGGCCAAGGCCCGGCCAAGACTACAAAAAGGCACACATCCACTCCTTTTCATAACTTCTCTTCCCCGAGAAGAGAGTCTTGAGTCAATTTATGCAAATTACCATGCAAATTTCCGCCGCCGACTTTATTACTGTGTCTTGTCAGACTGTGGAGGCAAAAATATATTTCATAATAAATGCACATAGCAAAGAAGATTTCAACAAGTGCTGCAGGGAACATCTCTTTCCTCGGGGATCCGCTAGGCGATGGAAGCTTCTGTGCAGATGGAGGCGTGTCATGTGCAGTCTGCACTGTGTGTCTGAGCCCCCGTTGACACTGTTTAATGCCACCTTTAGAAGATGAATGTGGACGTGGCTATGAAATCTGGGCTTGTTAAGTTCCTCGTGTTTTGTATAAAATAAAGCGCCTGCCATTTTTTATAAGCAGTCCTGTTTGCGAGCAAGATGATATTAAAGGAATAAATAAGCATTGCCAGGTTTGGGGCAACCTAATCACAGCAGAGTGCAGCCCAGCTTCCCCGGGGGGCATTCCAGAGGCTCCTGCAGCACCACTGAGGAGGGAGGGGATCGTAATGACCATGGACTGGCAGGGGAGTCCCCAAAGTCAAGCCTGCTGTTCATTTGTCTGGATATCCTCTTTACATCCCTGTGGCTAGTTACCAGCAAGAATAATTCAAACCAGCCCTGGCTGGTTTGGCTCAGTGCATAAAGCATTGGCCTGTGGACTTCAGGGTCCAGGTTCGATTCCGGTCAAGGGCATATGCCCAGGTTGCAGACTCGATCCCCTGTGGGGAGCATGCAGGAGGCATCTGATCAGTGATTCTCTCTCATCATTGATGTTTCTTTCTCTCTCCTCCCTTCCTCTCTGAAATCAATAAAAAATATATTAAAAATAATAATTTACTCCATACCTTATAAATGGGAATGAAGTACAAAGAATGAATGCTTTGACCAAGACTCTAAGGCCATGGTCGGCAAACTGCAGCTCGCAAGCAACATGCGGCTCTTTGGCCCCTTGAGTGTGGCTCTTCCATGGCCTGGGTGAGTCTATTTTGAAGAAGTGATGTTAGAAGAAGTTTAAGTTTTAAGAATTTGGCTCTCAAAAGAAATTTCAATTGTTGAACTGTTGATATTTGGCTCTGTTGACTAATGAGTTTGCCGACCACTGCTCTAAGGCAATATAGAAGAGGGATGTGGTCTCCTCTAGAACCCTAGAACCTCATTGAGGGTCAGCCTTTCCTGAAATTCCTGAAACACTAGGATATTAATAGGAATTATAAGCACAAAGATTCCCAGGGCACAAAGAAGGTTGGGAAACGTTGGGTTACATGAAATTGTTCACATTTTTTCAGAGCAGGATGTTTCTGGACTTATACTATGCCAGTGTGCTTTATGGTTCTTCACTAGGGGCTAGAACAAGCATGTCAAACTCCAAGGCTAACATGGGCCAAATAAACAAGGCATGTGGCCCAAGGGCCATGAGTTTGGCATACTTGGGCTAGAGTATGCAGCCTTTCCCAGAAACATCTGGTCACAGTTCAACCAGAACTCTTGTAAAGGAACAAAGGAAATCTACAGTCTTAATGACAATGTGTAGGATATAACTAAAAATTACTAGACATAGAGAGTAAAATTCATATTCAAGAAAAAAGGAAAGGCTTGCTTTGTACAGGAGCAAAGAAATACTTAGAGCCTGGAAAGATGTGGGGATAAGGCTGGGCACATGTAGACAACTTTGCAAATATGTTATAAATCCTGGCTCTGCCACTTCCAGCTGTTGACGCTGGGAAAGTACTCTTGTACTCAGTTTTCTTACCAGTGACATATGAATACTAATGGACATAACCCCTAACATAGGTTATGAGGATTAAATAATGCCCTTAGCACTGGCAAATAGTCAGTACTCCAATGTTTAGTCATTGTTACGGCAGTTATTGTTACGTTAGAGTATAAAACCAAGGAAGGAATTGAAGTGGTTTATTCCTGCAATTGTATAGGAGGATGTTAGGTTGTCTTCTGAGAGTAATTTGTGCTGAGGATGTGGCAGGGGCAAAATAGAGAGGAGAATTTTATGGATGGAAGCAGAAGGTGATCAAGGGCAAGTCACATGTTCTTTAAAGAAAACCCATAGATTTACCATTTCTGGTACTCATGTTCCTTCTTTAAAGATTTAAATTTCCATCTTCAAAATTTCCCCTCAGCCTAAAGCATGTCCTATAATGAGGGCCCACTGCTTGCAAACTAGCACATCTTTCCCTTATCTGAAAATGTTTTTGTTTTGCCTTCATCGTTAAAGGAAGTTTTCACTGGAAATAGAATTCTAGGTTGGCATGATGCTTGTTGTTTCTTTTGGAACTTTAAAGATTTGTTACATTGCCTTCTGTCCTACATTGTTCTGATGAGAAATCAACTGTCGTCCTTGTCATTGTTTCCTTGTATATAATGTGTTTTCTATTTCTGGCAGCTGGTAAGGCTTTTTTCTTTATCTTTTGGTTTTCTGACTATGATACGCTTGGGTGTAGTTTTCTTTGTATTTATCCTGTGTTAGGTTCACTGAGCTTCTTGGTACTATGGGATGGTGTTTCTAATCAAATTGGGAAATTAAAAAAAAAAAACATTTTTGGCTGATTTTGTTTTTATTCTTTTATAAGAGCCTAATTGCATGTATGTCAAATCACTTGATATTGTCCTAGAAGCTCTTGATCCTGTCTTCACTTTCATTACATCTATTTTCTCTCTGTGCTTCAGTTTGAATAATTTCTTTTGGCCCTTTTCAGGTTCACTGATCTTTTCTATTTAAATTCAATGTATTTTTATTTTAGGTATTGTATTTTTTAGTGTTAAGATTTCATTGTTTTCTTTTAGCGTTTTCTTATATTTCTTAAAATTCACCCATCATATACATCTTTTCCTTTATATTTTAACATTTATATCAGTTATTTTAAAGTGCTGTCTGGGTCTAATCCAATATCTGGGTCATCTGGGGTCTGTCTCTATTGATTTGTTGTTTTGATTATGGCTTGAATTCCCTGCTTCCTTACATGTCTAATCCTTTTGTATTATGTAGGGGAGAATGTTGTAGGGATTCTTGGATTCTCTTACCTTCCTTTCAACAGTGTTCAGTTTTATTTTAATAGGCAATTAAATTATGGGCAGCTAATATTTTTGGAAGAGTTACTGTATTTAAACTTTAATAGATTTTTTTTGCTTTTTTCCCTTAGTCATCTTAAGTCCCAAGATGACGTCCATTCTTCCAAAGCTGGCCCTTTCTGGCTTTGTTGCTGGGGAAACCTTCTCACCCAGTTTTCTCACCCCCTGCCCTTTTATATCACTCAACAAACAAACAAACAGACAGACAGACAGACAGACAAACGAAAACCCTGTCCTCATCTTGATTTAGCTCAAACTCACTTCCTCTGAGAGGGACGAGAAGGTTCGCAGCTGAGAAAGGGAGAACCAGGGATAACAGAGCAGGACCCACCTGGCATTTGGCATGGGTGCCCCCCATTTTTCTGGCAGTCACTACCTGGATCACTGAGCACTTGTCCCTTTGCCCAGGACTTTTCACTTTTGACCTGTCTGTGCTTTTCTCTTACAGGCAACCATTGGCATTGACTTCTTGTCAAAAACCATGTACTTGGAGGATCGTACGGTGAGTGCCTGACTTTGGAACCAGGAGGACAGGGGGTGCTCCTTTGGATCTATCACCCGGACCCCTACCGGGGCACCCCTGAGAGCCCATACCTGCCCCCAGAGCTGGCAGTGCCAGCAGCACAGAACCAGGACCTCGCCCACTCCCCACCCCCACCATAAGGAGCTGGCTGCCCCTGCTGACCCCTGCCCTCCCTGCCACAGGTGCGACTGCAACTCTGGGACACAGCAGGCCAGGAGAGGTTCCGCAGCCTGATCCCCAGCTACATCCGGGACTCCACGGTGGCCGTCGTGGTGTATGACATCACTAGTGAGTGTGGTCCTGGCTCACAGGGGCTCCGGGGCCCTAGTGGAGCCCCAGCCAGAGTGTGTGTGTGTGTGTGTGTGTGTGTGTGTGTGTGTGTGTACATGTATACACGCACTCTAATTGTCTGAATGCAGGAAGGTAGGTGCCTGCCAATGGGGGTTACTTGCCTTTGAACACGGCGTGTTTTCCTCTTCCCCGCCCTCCTGTGCCGGTCATGGTTGTGCAGGCTGGCCCTGCTCCCAGCCCCTCTGCACCCTTGTTGGCCCTGGCAGAGCAACTTCTGTGCCTGTGTGTCAAGGTGGGTGAAGACACTGGTCTCTGGACAAGCTTGCCCCCCGTAGCTGTGGCTCTGTCAGCTGGCATCCCAGCCCCTCACCAGGCTCCCGCTAGTCCACACAGCAAATCATGACACTGTCACCTTCCTGGCGGGGTAAATTCTCGCCCCCAAAGGGTGACTCAGCAATGCCAGGGGCTCTCCAGGGCCCTGGGGCAGCAGCTCCACACACCCACACGGGCCTCCTGTGGAAGGCCCAGACCCACTGGCCTGTGTGGCTGTGCTCCAGCCCCTCCTGGGGTCTGGTGTGCCTGCTGCCCCTTCCTACCTTTTCCCTCTGCCAGTGAGGACAGCATCTCACTCCCAGTTCTACCCCCCTTTCCACCTCCAGACCTCAACTCCTTCCAGCAGACCTCTAAGTGGATCGATGACGTCAGGACGGAGCGGGGCAGCGATGTTATCATCATGCTGGTGGGCAACAAGACGGACCTGGCTGACAAGAGGTAGGCGCAGGGCTGGCAGGCTGGGCCCACCCTCCAGGCCTCTGCAGCTTCTCCTGGACCAGGAGTTCTGGGGTGCACGGGTAACGAGCACCCTCTCTGCCTGTCGTCTTCCCATGCATCTTGGAAAGGTACCGGCGGGTTGCTGGAGGCTTTGAAAGCTCCTGGTAGACCCCTGCCCACGTCATCTCTGAGGCCCCACCTCGCATGGCCGGCAGGGGCAGTTCCAGGGTGCTCCTCTGTGCGTGGTTTGCATGGAGCCCATGCACCTGGCCCAGCCCCGCAGTGCACGGTCGGGGAACTGGCCACAACCAGCAACACAGCTGCAGGCTCCTGCCGACTCCTGCTTGTGCTGTATCTCTGCCCCATGACATGCCCGCACCAGTGTGGGTGTGGGTCTGAGGGTCCTGGCCCCACGTGTTCACCTCAGAGGTTCTGGTCTGGCTCTGTGTCTGGATGTGACCCTCTCTGAAAGAGGCTGCTCCAGGGCACAGGGTTGACTTACATACATGTGTCCACTTGCCTCAGGGGACCCAACTTGGTTAAAGGTCATGCATTGTGGGCTTCCTGAACTATACTCTAGCCATTTAAGGAGTGAACTGAATTAGAGACTGTTTTGTTAGAATCCTCTTCCTGCTGTGAAGAAAATGGGGCTCAAAGTCTAGCTCCTTTGCTGAGTAGGCGAGCTTGGAGCAGTTCCTTTTCACTTCAGTGTTCTCATTCGGGAAACAGGACCGTTGACACCATCCAGAAGGGCGGTATGCGGCCTGCAGCACTTCACACACGTGGTCTCTGGCCGTGGCCACTGTTGGGAAAGGCAGCTATGGGACAGCCTCACCCACCTGCCACCGGGCCTGCTTCCCAAGGGGAAGATACTACAGGAGGAGGAGAGAAGGGGCTGCTGTGCCCTGTGTCCCCTTCGTCCTGCTGGGCTGTTCCCTCCATCTCACCCAGGGGCTGCTCTCCCCCGAACTGATGTCCCCTTCCCTCACCTGTAGGCAGATAACCATCGAGGAGGGGGAGCAGCGCGCCAAAGAGCTGAGCGTCATGTTCATCGAGACCAGTGCGAAGACCGGCTACAACGTGAAGCAGGTAGGACACACCTATTGCCGATCCCTGGCCCCGCTTGGCCTTAGGGTCCATCTGTGGCTTCTGGCATAGTCAGCCTCAAGCTCAGCCCTTTCTCTCCCCAGCGGGCTAGTGACTGGGTTGGGGTAGCCAATCAGAGTGCCCATAAACCCACCTCCTGGGGAACAAGCTTACCCAGAGGTGGTAACGCATGCCATGCGAGAAGGAAGGAGCACTGGCCCTCAGGGGGTGCCTGGAGAATGTCCTCACGAGGTACCATACAGCAGCCAGCCACGTGGCCCTGAAACGTGTGTGAGCGTCCAGTCACCAGCTTCCAGGGGCTGAAAGAGGCACCGTTTCCCCAGCGGCTGGAGATGGAAGGGGGTGCAGGCGTTCATGCCTTGTGCTTGGCAGAGCTCAGGGGCTGCAGGGTCAGGCAGGCTTGGAGAAAGGAGGCCACCTGGGTACGCTGGGGCTCTCAGGAAGGGACAGGCCTGTGAAACAGAATCATCCGAGGAGCCGTAGAGGAATCCGTGATGCAATGCAGCAGGCCAGCGGCCGTGGGCCGGAAAAAGCACAGCTTTATCAGCGCTCACTTCTAAGCGCTCTTTAGCGTCGTTGCCTTCAGCGGTGAGTGTAGGCAGCACGCCCGTCCCGGCAGCAGCCCCGTGGCTCTATCACGCAGGAATCACATGGCTGTGCTCTTATCGCCTGGCAGTGTGTTACGGGATCCCGTCACTGCTTCGGTATCACGGTGGTTCTTAGACACACCGCCGGCTCTTGCTGTGTTACACGTTCGTGCTTTGTCACGAACTTGTGTCTTTAAAGAGCTTAGAAGTGTATTTCAATACTAAGTGGCTTCCTTTGTGCTCCTGTGTAATGGATATCACACCCTTAGAGGGCGTGTGTGGGTGTCACCAGGCTGCCAGAGGGGCCTGTGGTTCACAGCGGGTTAGGAGCCTCTGCCTCTGAGAAGGAGAGGACTTGGAGAGGTGACAGGAGGGAGGATATCCGGGCAAGGGGAACAGCATGAGTAAAGGTGGGGCAGTTCGGGTGCCTGTGGCCTGGGCAGGGGACACCAAGTGGGGAGCATGGCTTGGCTGGGGGATGTCACTTCTGCCCGCCGTCCCCGTTGGTGCTCGGCGAACACTAGACAAGCTGCCTGGGTGCGGTGAAGATTCACGCCATGTGAACAGTGGCAGTGGCTGTGGGGAAGGTGGCAGAGGAGCAGAGACAGAGTGGGAGCCCCAAGTTCCAGGACTCAGTCCCCCAATTGGACTACAACGTCTCCATTCATTCGCACCCCCTTCCCAGCCTCCTCCCCTGTAAGGCCAGGCTGCTGTGGTGTCTCCTGGAGGAGGGAGCTACCCGTCCCTGTCCCTGGAGGCATACAGGAATGCCGGCTGCTGCTCTTCGCATCTGAATGGGGAGTCATGGGGGCGGGGCGCAGAGGGGTCAGGGTGAGGGGGGCGCTGATGCCTCCCTTCCTAGTATGGTCTGGACCCCACAATGGTCTGAGCAGTTCAGTATGGTTGGTTGAGACCCTGTGTGGTTCAGAGGGTCTCCATGCAGTGCAGACTCGTGGATCCTAACCCTGATCCTATCTGCTCTCAGAGACCCACAAGCTGCCTTCTGTCACCTTGGCCGTTAGTAGGAGCGGTGACCATTTTGACGTTCAGAGCAGGGCTGCCTGGGTCAGGACCACAAAGGAAAGATCCAAGGAGTGACCCAGGCCCTCTGCACCCTCGCCCGATCCTGCCTGCCCCACTCGGAGCCCTTTCTGCAGCACCCATAGGGCCCACACCCTGCCAGGCAGGCCAGTGGCGTCACCCCTCAGGCCCTCACTGCCTTTGGCCCTGAGTGCTCCACGGGGCCCTCACCCGGCCTGGTGCTCCAATAAGGCTGGGCTCTGGGGAACCCGGGACTGAGATGCACCCCGTCCTCAGCGAGCTCACGCAGAGACGTTGTAAGCCCAGGGCCCACCGAGTTCCTGCAGTTGGTCTTCAGGGGAAGAAGGGGAGCATTCAGAATCTTCTGGTGCCTTGTACTTGTGCTCTGTCACCTCCTCCCTGACACCCCACACACACCCCACACATTTCTCCCCACGCACTTACACGCACAGAAGCCCCATGTGCACATACACACCGCACACACTCCCCCACACACTTCACAAATGCGCACACACACAGACACCACACATACTCCACACAGTGTGCACATCACACACCCATCCCCAGACAAACCCACAATGGCACGTTCACGCTCCGGTGTTGTTCTCTCAGGAAAGTCTCTCTGCGGTGCCCGGGTGGCCCTGGCTCCCAGGCCCCAGCTGCGTCAATGCCCATGAACGTGCAGGACTCCCTGAGAGGCTCATTTGTCTCAAGGGCAGGTGGGAAATGGGTTCCCCACACCCAGTCCCTACATGGACCGCAGGACAGGAGCCCTCCTAAGGGCTGACTCCCAGGGTCCAGGTCATTATCTGCATGGGGATAGGTGCCTTTCAGACACCATGACCCAAGCTCAGCTCCTCATGACCCCTGGCCAGCCTGCCAAGGCCCAATGCTGTGAGAGGCGCGGGGGGGGGGGGGGGGGGGGGGGAGGGCGGCGGCGGGGGGGGGGGGGAGGAGAGAGACGGAGTAGGGGGGGCAGGTGGAGGAGAGAGAAGTCGGTGTAGCTCTGCCCTCCAGGACACAGTCAGTGGGACATGCAAGACAGTGAAGCCCAGGGTGGGGTGAGTAGAGGCAGGAGGGTGTAGACACAGTGGGAGCAGGAGGGAAAACTGGGTACAGGGGGCTCATGCTGCATCTCCCTGTCTCCAGCTCTTTCGACGTGTGGCGTCGGCTCTGCCTGGGATGGAGAATGTTCAGGAGAAAAGTAAAGAAGGGAGTATCCTTTTCGGTGACGAGTGGTGGGAGATGTGCTGGAGAAGCCATTTACCCATCTTAGTACCTCAGAGCAGTGAACGAGCTGGCCTGCCTCCAGCCCAGCTTCCCGCTGGCGGACATGGGGTGGGGCTCTGTGCAGGGACGAGGCTGAGAGCCAAGGTCTTTAAGGCCCATCCAGCTCGAACCACCGAAGCTGACCCTTCCCACACAGGGAGGGATACCGGAGGGATGTATGGTGGGAGAGGCGGGGAGGGAGACATAGTGGCGCTGCCCTTCTTTAAAGTGGACATCGATCTGTATTTCGTGGTGTAAGTAGAGTGGCCACTGCAGAGAGGGTTTCTCTCTTTACGCTCACATATGATTTCAACATGGTTCAGCCTGCTCCACACGAGGCAGCCCCCAGCAGATGCGTCCTGCTGCTCCCTCGGCCCAGCCCTGCACAGCCCCAGAGCTCACCACTGTTCCCGGGACAGGGTCTCACACCCCACACCACAGGCAACACCAGAACGGACATGGAGGTTCAGAGATACCGTCTGATTTGCCCAATAGGAAGAAGGTAGCTATTCATTATCTGTTGACTTGTTTACTTATACTCAGCCATGTTATAAAAAATGTGTATATAGATATAGATAAATTGATATAGATACACAAACACACACACACAAAGATAAAAATGCATATGTGTACACACACGAGAGAAAATCAGGGCACAGGTAAAATAAAGGTAGGAAAACAAGGACAAGAAAGAGATGAAGCCAAACTCGAAATATATGCCGTGGCTGAATGGCCAACAAGTGGCAAGGAGGGAAACGGATCTTCAGGAGAAGCGTGGCTTTTTCTCGCACAGCCACCCCTCTGATTCTGCAGGGGATTGGTTCTAGGACCCTCCCCCCTTCTGCCTCCCACCTCCTGGATATCAAACTCCTCGATGCTCAAGCCCCTTCAATGACATGGCGTAGTAATTGCATATAACCTACGCACATCCTCCCCTATACTTCACATCATCTCCAAACCACTTACAATGTCCAATGCCACGTAAATGCTATGTGAATAGTTGTTAACTGTACTGCTTAGGGAACAGTGACAAAAACTAACGTTCATGTTCAGTTCACATGCAAGTGTTGTAGGCTTAACCGCACACGTCAGCAACAGCAGAACATTTCCCCCCCAAAATACTTTTTATTCACAATTGGTGGAATCCACCCACAGAGGCAGAGCCTGTGGGCACCCAGGGCCGACTGTGCTTACAGGCAGAAGAATCTTCCCACAGCCCTTAAACAGGGCCCCCAAAACATCCCTAGGGTGCCAGTAAGAGATCCCATAGCAGGCCTCCTACCTCCCACCCTGCTCCCCGACCCCAGAGCAGTCCCACAGCTGCCCCGGAGCCTGGCCAGGAGGAGTCATCCCGTGTGGTGCTCCGTGTGAGGGGCCTGGCATGGTAGTATACAGCCTGCCGAGGGCAGAGGGCAGAGCCCGTCTGTGCAGCTTGAACCCACTGCTCAGGTAGTTCTGATTGGCGCCTCTCCAGCCTTCTCCAGGCCCTGGGCACCGATGGAAAGGCTGGAGAGGGGGCTGTGCTGAGGTCCTCCCGCAGGGACACGGCATCCTCAGAGTCTAAGTGACACGCACACTGACCGGAGAGCATGCTGCCGCGGCAGACGAGGACAAGACCCCAGGAGCCATGTGCTTCCAGATGTGGGGTCCATGCTCTCCACCTCCAGGGCACTTTGGGGTGGGCTGGGGGCCCTGCATCCTCCCACCCCAGGCCAAGCAGAGTCGGGTGTTTGTGGAGGGGAAGAGGGGGTGGGCAGGGCAGCTGAGGGGTGGACAGGGAGGGCCTGAGGCCCAGTGGCAGCTTCTCCGTGAGAGTCCTCTTCCTTAGCCCAGCCCCCTGCAGTGATCGACATCAAGCTGGACAAGCCCCAGGAGCCCCCGGCCAGCGAAGGCGGCTGCTCCTGCTAATGCAGCCTGGCCCCAAGGCTTCCTCCTCCGACACTACTACTCGCTTGTTGTGTTGCTTCCTATTGGTTAGCTTCCTAAAGGGGGGTGGGAAACGAGCTTATCCGGATGGGAGGATTTTTCTTTTCTCTCTGTCTTTAGGAGCAGGGTCGGGTGGGGAGGGAGGCCGGGCATCAGGGATCACAGTCACTCTTAACAGCTGTTACTCAAACAACTATTTTTTGGTTTGGTTGTAATATATTGTACTTTATTAAGATTGCCAAAAACGGTTAAAATTTAAAAAAAAAAGAAAGAAATTTTAATCATGTGTATACGACTTTTTGCCAGATAAAAAAAAAATGTAATCATTTTTATTTGAAAGATGTGCTTTTTTTTTCTGTTTTTGTATATTTGTAAACTTACAAGAGAACCTTTTCCCACACACCTCCTCCTTCCTGTCCTCTTTCAACTGTGCATCGACTCTGCCCTCCTCCCAGCCCCCAGCCCCCAGCCCAATAAACTAAAACATGAACTGAGCAATCTAATTAGGCTCCAATCCCGCGCCATCCTGCCCTGACCGACCAGGTCCCACCAAACAGGTCCGACCTGGTTAAATAACCCCCTGAACAAAACAGCCTCTGAGGAGGCAGCTCTGACCCTGCCCTTCCTCCGTGGCCAGAATGGGGCACCAGGCATGGCCCCGAGCTGACATGAAGGTCTCCTGGACAGCAGGGAGCCCGGCTGCAGGCCCCACTGCAATTACACCTGCTTCTCCCTTCTCCTCCCTGAGAAGCCTTGAAGGCGGGCAGAGCACTGGCCACAGGCACACCCTGGTGTTCTCTGTGGCCCCGTCAGTGATTGGCAGAACAAGAGGTCCCCGGAAGAAAGGAAGGATGGGGTGCTGTTGGCAACTGTGGGTCATGTTGATGTGTGGTTGGTTCGGAGGCTTGGGGCACCGTGTGTACTTCTGAAAATGCCTAAACCACCCGGCCCAGCGTTCAGCACACATATCTGGGTTGACTCTAAGGGAAGAGCAGAGACTCGTTGTGCGGCCTCAGGGAGTGTTGTCTGCAGAACCACCACCTTAAAGGCCCAGGGCCTCGGTTGCTAATAACGTTGAGTGCTGATTTGGAAAAGCTGGCTTCTTGATGTGCTTTGCACAATCTTTTGCTGATGTTGTTGCCTAAGAGGAGGGCTGCAGTGGGGTTTCTCTGCCCAGATCGTTGCCATTTTTTACTCATTTCTGAGAAGGGCTAAGTCTGAGCACCTGTAAAACCCTCCGAGGAGAACTCTATCTTCTCATTAAGTGATGGAACCCACTTGGCCTGTGTTCCAAACAGACCCAGACTCACCGACCCTGAGCCTGAGCGAAAGCCAGGCAGTGAACGGCAACTCTGGCCAAAAAAGGGTAAACCCCCGCCCTGCAAGCTGGCACTGGCTTCCTCCAGGCTGCTGTTGGGCATGTCCCAGGGGAGCGAAAGGGCCATCTGGGGTGTGAATTCCTCCACAAAGCAGTGCTCAAACTATTGCAATGAATTTTTGGAACTTCTCAGAAACGAATCCAAAATGGCAGCCAGTAAGTGCAGCGAAGCCTGGCAGGACCCACTGCTATTTGTCCAGTGGGCCTGCCACACAGGTTCAGCTAAGGAGATGGAGCGTCAGAGCTGATCTTTAAAGAGAGATGTATCTTCAGGTGGAGAGAAGAGGGAGCAGAATCCCCGCCGCCGAGTTCCTCTTCCTAAAGGCAAAGACGTTGCAACGTACGGACGTAATCCCAGTGTCGTGTGTTTAGTTTTTATATGTGTGTACATAATTATATATAGAGATAGACTTGTGTATACACCTCCCACACACATTCTCACAGAGGTACACGTGCTCAACGTATATTCTTGTTCTTCCTGCTCTCCGGTTGGAACTTGCGTTGTGATAACAGTTTTGAAAATTCCAAAGTACTGCGGCGACGTGTTGAAATAAGTAGTACTTAATATTGTAAAAAAAAAAAAAACAACACAAAACTTGTGATTGTCTTGCCATCAATAAAATAATTACATAGATGTGTTAAACTACAGGCAAAAAATAGCCCACGGGAATATGTGCACCATTTCTCCTCCTATGTACTTATATGCACGGGTGTGCATGCCTCGTGGGCCAGCACCCCCCACACCACCATGGCACACCCCCAAGTGGTGCTCGTTGGAAGAGTGCTTACTTACCTCGTGGGAATTTACAGGAGCCCGTGTTACAGCATCCAGCCTGGGTGGCAGCGAGGGCCATTGCTTGTGGCCTCAGGGACAGCCCCCATTTGCAGGGATCTGCCCTGGGCCTCGGTGGCATGAATGTACGGTGGATTTTTATTTTCTTGGTACTAAAGAGTAGCTTTTTTTTAAAACATTCCTGTAAAAAAAACAACACACACACACAAAGTAGAAACTCAGTTCCTTTCTCACGTGCAGACGTACCCAAGGCACCATGAACTCTGTTCCATCACAGCCTACAGGAGCAGTAAGAGACACGATAAATACCGCTTGGTTCGGCGTGGCCTCCGTGAGCCCCGCCTTTCCTAGCAGGTACACAACATCCTCCCTTTGGAGTCCAGGCTCTCCCCAGCCCTGGGGACCTCCGAAGGTGAGGGCAGTTGCCCCATCTTGTCCTCCATCTTGGTGGTGCCATTCCATTCCAGGACCCTCCTCCCCCCACCCCCTCGTTTCCTGGCGCCTGTTAGGGCAGCCAGATCTCTTGCACAGAAGTGCACTGTTCTTTGGCCTTTGTGTTGAGCAGGCAGGTGCCACCGCTGTCCTCTTGCTTAGAGGTAGGATTTCAACTCAGTTCAGGTTCAATCATTCAATGACCAGGTTATGTCTTGACATCGCCTCGGCATCCCCCTGTGACTGACGTCTTTGCTGAATCCCGATGGGCTAGCACATGGCAAAGTGGAGGACTCCTTTTGGGAAATGATCCGTTTACCCGTAGTTCAGTCCCTCTCCTCCAAGACTAGCCCTGACTTGGGAGGTGAGTGGAGTCATCTTCTTTGGGTCTTTTTTCTTTTTTCCCCCTTTGGGGATGTCCAAGAAAAGCTGTTGGAAAAGCCCCCGTTTCACAGGCACTGAAAAATCGAGCCTAAGACGGAAAAAGCAGATGCCTATTTGAAATGTGCACGCGGCGGAATGAAAGTGTGGCGGGAACATCTTGAGTGCTAGAGGTGCAGTTGTGTCGTCCAGGGTGAGCTCGCTCGCTGACTGATAGAAGCAAGTTTCTTTTGCCAGAGGCCCCCCTGCTCTCACGGTCACCACTCTCTTCCCGTCACTGCTCCCTTCCCGTCAGCATCCTCCAAAATTCTGTCATGTTCCTAGGTCCGAGGAGCGATGGCCAGGTCAGTTCAAGTGTCTCAGGCAACAGAAACAGGCTTGCAATGGTGGTAGCTAAGGATGCAGACACATCTTGGTGGCGGCCAGCGCTGGAGCCCCTGCCCTCAGGGACCAGATGTGACCACGGCACCGCTGGCTTCGGTGTCTGCAGGCAGTGCAGCCACATTCCTTCACACGGCAAAGGCAGGTGAGGATATCAGAAGGTGAGAACAGGCAGCCGAGGACTGTGAGGTGTGTCTGAGCCGCACGAGGGGCAGCTGAGTAGAAGTCTGTCTGTCTGCATCAACCAAGCCGGGTTGTATGCTCACTAGTTTCCAAACTACCTCTTCCCCAAGAATGTGAGGCACTGTCACCTGGCTGCAGCGGTGTGAGGCAGAGGTCTCCAACCCTTCCTGCTTCACAGGCAGGAAAACCAAGATAGAGAAGGGTGACTTCCGAGCAAATCGGAAGCAGTCAGAACCAAGATGTTTCCATCCCCGTCGCCCACTGTGTATACAAACGTGACCGTGTGCCTGCACATAAAGGGCTGCTGTGCGTGGGTGTTCACCAGACTCTACTCTGGTTGGGACATGAGGTTCTGTCCAGCATCTGAGCGAGCCAGGAAAGAATCCACGTACATCTCAGGCTCCTCCGTTGCAAAGAAGGGCCAGTCCCCAGCTCCACTCTGATTGCTGTGGGCATCCACAAACGAGGGCACTCTTTGCATTTTTGTTTGAACTATTTAGGTGTTCCAAAACCTTGGGCTCTCAATGTGTGAACTCCTGGACGCCAGTCGGGTATGGGTGATGCTGCCGGCAGTGGGGTTTGGGTGCTTCCTTCCAGCGGGAGGTGTCCGTACGTCAAAAGCCAGTCCCTGTCACGGTGTGTATCAACTTGCCCCCTCACTTCCCGCGCCCACCCCCAGGAAGGGACTAGCCATGAGGAACATAGAGGGTGGCGTGCCCATCTCTTGCTGGCTCAGCAGGCATAAACGGCCACATTGACTTTACATAAAACTGTGTAAAATGTGGAAGACTCAGCATGTTGATCAAACAATAAACTGTCCTAATTCTCAACGCAAAGCGTCTTGTCTAATATTTCTAAGTGGTTCGATCATATGTGGGGCAGGGGAAGGGTTATGGGGAGGGTGTGGTATGTGAAAAAGTATTTCCTCAAGTGCATGCTCCACAAAGACCCTCCTATATATGTCTGTCCACTACCCAAAGCCCTCTGCTTCTTTCTTCCTCCCACTCACCTGGGCTCGCCACCAACTCAGAGGGACACACTCACTTCCGTAATCTCCATTCTGCCTTAAGGCTGGTGGTTAGGGAAACTCCAGGCAGGACTGAGTCTCAGGGTATGTGTCTTCTGTCTTCCCTGCTCCCCACTGGCCAGGGCTAGGGGTGATCAAGGGTGGGTGCAGGGACTGTATCTCTCTTCCTTCTGATGATTTCCAGGAAGCCATTTAGAGGCAAGAATTGAAGGTGGACCATAAATTCCCCAAGATTACAGTATTCTGGGCAACATGACTTGGAAGGGGTGCATAATCTGAGAATGGCATCACACGCAGGACTGTCCAAGAACTTTGATAATCCTGTGCTAAAAAAAAAAAAGCCTAGTGCAGCCGAAGCTGGTTTGGCTCAGTGAATAGAGCGTCGGCCTGTGGACTGAAAGGTTCCAGGTTTGATTCCGGTCAAGGGCATGTACCTTGGTTGTGGGCACATCCCCAGTGGGATGTGTGCAGGAGGCAGCTGATCGGTGTCTCTCTCTCATCAATGTTTCTAGCTCTCTATCCCTCTCCCTTCCTCTCTGTAAAAAATAAAAAATAAAAAAATAAAAAATAAATAAAAAAGCCTAGTTCAGTTGAAACAAAAGAATCTTAAGTCAACACAAGTACCTCACGCTCACAGGGCTACAGGGAGACACTGGAATCCCCGGAGGAACTGAGACACAAGCCATAGGAAGAAGTGGCAGCCCTATTGGGGCAGTACGCCTGGCCACGCGGTTCTCAGGAACCAGCAGGGCCGTGGAGGAGGTCACGCTGATGAGATGAGGGAAGAGAGGGAGGCACAGAGAATTTGTTTTCCGCCTCCGAATGGGACTGTACACCTCAAGAAGCAGGAATTGTGCTGCAGTCACTATTCCTGGAACCTGGCACAGGGCTTGTTTTCTGAACGAATGAGTGCCACACAAGGCTCTTGTGAGCAATCAACAATTTAGGGCTTTGTAGTTGGAGAGAAAGTAGGATTACCATTCCTTTCTTGCACAAAAGCCAGGGTAGTAATCAACTTTAACTATGTGAAGGGTTGAAAGAAGAGCTCAGCATCTTAATATCCTTCAGGTGAGAATGGGCATAAACCAACTGAAGCTTTGACAATTCTGAACTAAACTCAAGTCTTTTTTTTAAAAAGCAGCAACACAACATTCTGGCTGAAATGATCTCAAGACAGCGGACCATGGCCACGTGCCTCACACTCAGCAGGACCACTGGAATCCCAGGAGGCACTCAGACAGGGGCCATGGGAGAAGGTAAGTGGAAAACCCTAGGGACTCCCCAACAGCATCTGTTCTTGATCAGGAGCCAGGACCTCAGGAAACTGGCAGGCACATGGTAAGGATGGGACCTAGAACCTAATTCCAAGGACCCGGAACCCTTGCAAAAAGAGCTTGAAAGAAGGGCTAGAATAGACAGCAGGGCCGGTGCCTAGACCCCTTGGTCTATCTGCATGTGCACTCCATACGCCTGGAAGATTCCATTCCGGAAGCAGGCAGTACTGACCAATGGAGTGCCCAGGGCTTACTCATCGCAGCTGCCCCTGCACCGTGGCATCTCTGTGGCCTGCACCTCTCCATGGCAGGCTAGTCATTCCCATGAGGTGGCTGCTGCCCTGGAGGCAGGTGTCAGTACTCCCCACCCCCCCCCACCCCCCCAATACACAGCAGCTCAGACACTGCTGTTCCCAAGGTGTTTCAAGCCACAAGTGTCTCACCTATGATGTAGAGTCATGCCTAGTCTGTCAGTCCTCATGACCTGACATTCCTCGTTCCACTCTGGCCACACCTGCCCCCCATCTCACGATGGAATAGGCCTACTTTGGCTGAATGGCTTCACGGCCAAGAGGATACCAGCAAGGTAAAGAACACATCTGTCTCCCATCAAAACCCCTTCCCAACTCTCATGGACCAGTCTCCATGACCTCATCCTGGCCCAACTCTATAAGACTGTAGTGGAGAAGGAAGCAGAAGAGCGCCCAGGAGGGCTTCTGTGCCCCACTTCTTACGTCACCCTGTTAGAAAAACTAAAAAGGGCTTGTGACCCAAAGGACTTAAAAACATGCTAAAGGCACACTCCCCGCCAGTTCACTCAGGATGATCCCAGGGGCCCCGTGTGACTGTAAAGGGATGTTCGGTATGCCGATTCCTGAGGCCACACCAGATCTGCTATCACATTGAATGTTTCGGAGCAGGGTCCTCAGATCAGCTGTTCAACAAGCATCAGAGAATTCTCATGCACACTCACCTCAGAGAATCTCTGAGACAGAACTTGCCTTCTTCAGACAACCTTCTTTAGGCCTTGAGTAAAACTCACCATTGCTCCCCTTCTTCAATCAGTTTTGGTGTTATGATTTCCCCAATAAAGTAAAAAACTTTTATTAACCAGAGAGAGAGAAAAGCTGAGAGAACCCAGGCCTCTTCACAGCAGCACCAAACCAATGAATTTGATACACAAGAGCATCTATTATGATTATGCAAACATGTCACATTTATCACATTCCTTTTTGATTGCTGGTCCACTGTTCTTACCTACTTCCTTAAATTACTACTTGGGAGTAAGGAAAGGGCATGGCTAGCAGTACAAAGGAGAGGAGGGGCACTAGTAGCAATGAGGCTTTCAGAGAGAACTCTGCCAGGATTAAGGTCTTAACGTCATCTCAGCTTACATTTATTTCATACACGGGCGTCAGGTGACGGGGTCTGGGGCAGGAGAGCTGGAGTACCCTCATTCAGAGCTGGAGAGGCCCACAGGAAGGGGGACAGCAGGCAGAGGCTTGGGCTACGGTGGACCTGGGGACCACACTCGCTGGGACGCTGTCAGCTCCATCTGCTTTTAATGATTCTTCCTGATCCCTCAAGGCCAGGTTAGGTGCTCCTGCTGCTTGCTCCCAGAGCACCCTACACTTCTGTTATGGCTCTTACCACACTTCTCGGATTAGCTCCCCACTTATTCATGCCACCCTTGTCTCCTTTTAAGCGACAGTGGGGCTGGATCCTGAGTGTGTGAAGCAGGGATAGGAGAATTTGTCCAGTGTTCACTGCAATCTTTAGGCCCTGGAAACTTAGTTAGGCCTAATCTAATACACACTCCCATCTGTACTCATTATACCATGCTATTTAATTGCTTTGAGCTAAACAAGGCTGTTTTACTTACCAAGGAATGTATTAATAATTTATAAAAGCCATACATTTAAGACGACAGCAAATAATATCACTTTAAAAAGGCCAAGTTTGTTTTTTTTTTAACATCAGTGAAATGCACGTTAAAAATCCAGAGAACATTTTTCATTTTGTATTTGTTCCACAGCATTCTAGCTAAGAGTATACAATAGGAGCTGATCAACAGCACAGGAAGATAGCTCAGGAGCCCTCAGCCTCACAGAAAGCAGAACTTCTAAATCTGATCTACTCCCGTTAGGGGGAACCACTAAAACACACCAGACCCCTGGCATTTGGCGAAATAGCACTTACAGTTCTATCACCTGGAAATGATTAATTCCAAGGGTTTGTGACATTTTTTTTGGAAACTTAAGTGCTATGAGGGTGGAGTGTGGACAAGTCACTGAGCTGATGAAGAACAGACCACTGTCAATACAGCCTTGCTGTTTTATACCTGTCTCCACATGTCAGGAGACCATATTGTAATTGTACATACAAATCTGAGAGTTCAAAAGGACTAAATGATATACTGCCCAGGAACCTCAAGGGTAATTGGAAATTCACTGGTTCCATACAGAGGTTTGTTTCCAGGAAAAAGGAACCAAAGCACAAAAGAAAACTTCTCAGATGGTAACCATGTTCTCCTGATCTTCTCTATGTGGAGTCTGCTTGTTACGGTGACAAAAACCTTGACCCACATCTAGCTACACTAACGAAACATCACATACACTTTAACAAAGGGAAGGCACACGAGTCAATAAAAGTGACAAGTTTGAAAGCCATAAGGGGAACTGGACTTTTAAAAAAAATTCCAGGCTGGAATTCAACAATAACTTGTTTCCAGTACAAGGAAATGTTTCTAACTACACCCTTTTCCAAAACTGTCCATCACCACGTACACATTCCCAGCTGGGTGTCTGGGTTTGCCCCTCAGGCGATTTTAGCCAGCCACTTCTCCAAGTCCTGGATGTCAGCAGAGCTGGCATCTCCTCTTCCACCCTTGGCACTACACTCCACGAACTCCACTTTGAGGGGCAACTGCGAGAATTCAAATTCTTTGCCTTTCTTTCCCAGCTGAGCAGGGGCTGCGCTGGAACTGTCCAGTGTGCTGGGGGCAGCAGAGCGGGTGACTCGTAAAGTGTTGCTGTGAGGCAAAATGAAAGAGTCAGGAAGTGAAGAGTTTAATTTTTAATATCACAGTTAAAGGCCTTTAGGAAATCAAGATATTTCCTAAATATTTCAGCACTCATTTAGATACTTAATCATGAAACTGCCAATTATGCTATCATGACTGTTGGATAATCCTGTGCATTTATAAATCACTCTCCTGGGTAAAAAGGTGAGATGGGGTCCAACCTGCCATGCTAGATGACAGCAGTAAAAGGCCCAGGTCACACCAACCTCCTTGCAGCCCAGTGCCCCATCACCAGGCTCTCCTGCATGATGCCATTTTTAATTATAGGATGTCCCCCCTCCCAAAAATGTATACACAGGCTTTGAATTAATTATAAATTAAAATACATTTCATTTTCAAAATTGAGCTATCAGCTACTAAAGTTTGGGGATACCCTGTATATATGTGTTTTTTAAATATATGCTCTAAGTGTTATAAAAATATAAGTTTCGGAAATTTACGTGTACGTAGATAGGGTAATTATGTATATCTTTAGTCTTTTGAATATAGAGCTTAGAAATCCACAAAATCCAGATTCTCATATCCTATTTGGGCACAATTACTATTCTCCAACCTCTTTAACCACTAAAACCTTTATAATATAAATCGCCTTACTGCCACCTGCTGGCCCTAATAAACAGTGCCTAAGCAATGCTCATGGGTCTACTCCCACCCTTTCTGCCATCTAAAGCAGAGGAACACATGCTGCTAATCTGCTTTCTTACAACATAAAGCATTTCTTGCTGCAGTGACATTCATGAACATTAGTGAAGAATCCACAGGAAAAACGAAACACTACCTTACTTATAAAGACACACACGCGCCTATGGAAAAAGTATTTTAAAAAACAAATACAAAATCAAAATATTACCTAACTCAAGGAAAAAAGGGAAAAGCATTTGGGAAGAGCACATAGGGCCCATAGCTTTTGTGAAGGAGCTAAGCAAGGAGGTGGGTTAATGGGTATTCATTTTAATACTCTTTAAACTCAAGACATGCATTATATATTTTCCTTTGTATATAAGATATTTTATAATAAAAAACTTAAAAGGAAAACACCCCAAACATTATATGTATTCAGCTCTTGCCATAATGCCATGTATACATAGTAAACCTTACTATTCAGAAGACTAAAATGATTCAAAGCTGACAGAGAATAATTCTCACTAACAAAGGATTAAACTAAAATTAGACTCCTACTTTAACTGATACTAGCCTTTATAAATTTTTAAACATTTTACTTCATTACAATACAGCATTTCCTTCTGGGTTGTTTTCTATGGCTCTTTAGAGTGAAAAGCAAATGGACTAAGGAAAGTGTGTTTTAAACATGGAAAGACTTGAACTATACTGTTAAAAAAATAATATAATTTTCTTTCCTAAAGGTAATTTCCAACAATTACAACAGACTATTTAGATACACTAAATCATCTACTTACTTCAATTTCAGTAACCTAATGATAAACAATATGTAGTCTCTGGAGAGTGAACATAAAGAGAATGGGAAGAGATGATAAACATGCAATTTTAGAAGGAAGAGAACTTTGAAAGCAGCAAGACAAAAAACTGTCACAAACAAGGAAAAATCCACTAAGACTAAAAACCTTGCAGGTCAGTAGAGAGTGGGATGATATATTCAAAATGATGAAAGAAAATAACTATCAACTAAGAATATTATACCCAGCATAGTTGCCATTCAGATATTAACTAAGAGAACTTATTCATACTTACAGTTCTTTCTCAAGTTGTTGCTGAATTAACTTTGCTGATTTCGCCATTGTAATGTCTATAAAGAAATGAGGACACTGTTAAAATTTAAACCAAAAAGGGTCTTTTCCCATGACTTCTTGTATATATGGGAAATTCCTATTTAAACCAGTACATTTCAACCTCACACATATTCTTTTCTTTTTATCCTCACCCAAGGATATTTTTCCATTGATTTTTTAAAAAATATATTTTATTGATTTTGTACAGAGGAAGGGAGAGAGATAGAGTTAGAAACATCGATGAGAGAGAGTCATCGATCAGCTGCCTCTTGCACACCCCCTACTGGGGATATGCCTGCAACCAACGTACATGCCCTTGACTGGAATCGAACCCGGGACCTTTCAGTCCCCAAGCTGATGCTCTATCCATTGAGCCAAACCGGTCTCAGCATTTTCCATTGATTTTTAGAGAGTGGAGGGGAAGACAGGAAGGATTGTGTGTGTGTGTGTGTGTGTGTGTGAGAGAGAGAGAGAGAGAGAGAGAGAGAGAGAGAGAGAGAGAGAGATAGAGAGAGAGAGAGAGGGAGAGAGAGAGAGAAATTGGTAGCCACCAATCTACAACATAGGTACATACCCCTGACCAGGAATTGAACCTGCAAAAACCCTTTGATACACAAGTCAACACCCCAACCACTGAACCAGGGCCACACATACCTTTTTTTTTAAAGAAAAGGAAAAAAAAAAAAAAAAAAGCTACCACGAGTAGCTTCCTTATCAAAGTAAGCTTTTCATTTGGATGTATGGGTTTTCCTATAATACAAATATATTAAGCTGGTGACTCTAAACTGAATAGCTCTTTCATGAAAGTTTTCCATACCTTACAGGTATTTTAATTCAACATATATATAATTCCCACCAATCTAACAAAAATAAAACCTTACTAATTTTATGATTTTTAATAAGAGTCTTCACTCTATCAGAAACATCTTACCTGTCATATAAAAGTAAGCTAAGCATATTGCCAACTGATATTAACTTTGCATGCTACAGCATCAAGTGCACAGTGGTAAGAAACAAGCACTGGTTTGGCACACAGCTGAAGTCAAATAAATATTACCTCCCCTTGTTATACTGAATAGGAGAAATAAAGAGAAGGTCAGGTAACAATCATAAGACTGATTCCTGATTTGACATTGTTAGATTACCTGATCACTTCTTAGAAATGCATTGGGGCTCTTCATTGAATCAGAATTTCAGATCTGAAAGAGGCCTATAAAGATCAACTAGTCTATCTTATTTTAGAAGTAAAGAAACTGAAGCCTAGTTTTATTGGGTGTGACTAAAAAGTTTTTAATTGTTACCAGGTTAAAGAAAAACTTCTGCAAACTCCCCTTGGGGAAACAGAATAGATGATGAACTTGTTTGAGAGACTCCGCTTGCTGAGTATCTGATATGACATATTGTCAATCTGATGAAATTAACTAGGTAAAGTAAAATGACTCACAATTTTAAAAAAGCAAAACACTGTATCAAAGAAAAAATTATTATAGTCACTCCTTTGTCATGCCTTAAAATAACATGATAATATTAATAAAAATATAGGAGTATAAATTGTAAGAATTAATATCCTTCAGTATATAGTTTAGCAATTGTATCTCCTCATGAACAATAACAACTTAGGTAACTATATCAATTCTTAGCAGCAATCCCAGGAAAACCTCAATTACTATTGCCAGAAAATGTGATGGCACCTTGCTTATTGCAGACAATTAAGAATGATGGTGCGTTCTTCAGACTCATGCTGTCAATGAGGACTTGATACAGAAACTCAGCCACATCCTTCACCTCTCGCTGGAAGGCTGCACTATCCACAACAAACACAACAGCCCTGGAGGGGGAAAAATGAAAAACTGGCATGTCAGCATTGAATATTTAAAAATTATATCCTTAATTTTTCTTTAAGAGAAAAATCCATTCCAACAATAGAATTCTATACTCTATAAAATTTTGACATGAATGCATACACTAGAAAAGACGACAAACCTAAAATCAATAAACTAAGCTTCTACCTTAGGAAGCTTGAAAAATTAAGACAAATCAAATCTAAAATAAGCAGGAGAAAATAATGAAAGTTAAAACAGAGATCAATGAAACTGATAACTGGAAATCAATAGAGAACACCAACAAACCCAAAAGCTGGTTCTCTGAAAAAATAATTAATAAAATTTATAAACTTCTAGCCAGGCTAACTAAGAAAAAAAGGAAGGACACAATTCCTAATACCTGAAATAAAAGAGGATATTACTACAGATCCCATGGATTATCAAAGAATAATATGAACAACTCTATACTGACCTATTTGATAACCTAGGTAAAATGGTTCAATTCCTTGAAAGGCACAATCTACCAAACTCTCACAAGAAATATACAACCTGAATAGGCCTACAACTATTAAAGAAACGGAATCAATAGGGCAGTGAAAATACTCTGTGTAATACTATAATGGTGAATACATGTCATTATACATTTGTTCAAATCTTTAGTCTGTATAACACCAAAAGTGAATCCTGGTGTAAAATATAGACTCTGAGTGATTAAGATATATCAACATAGGTTCATCAGTTGTAACAAATGCATCAATCTGGTGGAGGATGTTGACAACAGGAGAGACTATCCATGTGTGGGGACAGGAATATATGGGAAATCTATGCCTTCTGTTTAAATTTTGCTGTAAACCTAAAATTGCTCTTAAAAAAATTGGTTTTTAAAATCACACCAACAATCTCATCTGTAATAGATTGCTCATCACCACCATCTTGTGGCCAAGGAAGCAACAATAAAATATAATACATCTTCAAAAAATAAGTAAAAAAAACTATCATTTCATTCCATCAAACTTAAGATTCCATCAATTAAAACACATTATTTCAGGTACAACTAAGAAAGAAAAATATTGTGAATTAACTATGATACCATCAACTATAAGTAGCATTTCAATTTAATAGATATTAAAATGTGTCTTAAAAATCAGTGAAATCTGGTATATTAATTTTCCTCTTGAGTTTTTATCAGAGTTAGAAACTAAATAAGTATAAGCAACTTAAACTGTAGCACAAGAATTTTAGGAAAAAAAGAGTAACATTAAAACAATTTTAAGCTGAAACTGGTTTGGCTCAGTGGAGAGAGCATTGGTCTGCGGACTGAAAGGTCCCAGGTTCGATTCCGGTCAAGGGCATATACATTGGCTGCGGGCACATCCCCAGTGGGGGGTGTTCAGGAGGCAGCTGATCGATGTCTCTCTCTCATTGATGTTTCTGGCTCTCTATCCCCCTACCTTCCTCTCTGTAAAAAAAAAATCAATAAAATATATTTTTTAAAAATTTAAATATGAAAATACTGTTCTGTACTTTTGAGGTATCAATTTTATGTAATTCAAAAATATAAATATGTAATGTTGGATTCTAATAACTTCTAGGATTCCACCTACCCTTAAAATTCTTCTTTCAGATTTTAATAGTTCTGTACATTATTAAATCTGTCCCCAGAGTAACTGAAAACTTTATTAACATGATAATAAGGGTTAACACTTTATGAACACTCTTTGAGAAACAGGTCAAATGTTACCTTACGTAATCCTCATAAAACCCTCGTGAAGGTAGGTTTGCAACCCAGAACTGGCTGACCCCAGGGTCCATGCTCTTTCCACTCCAGGATACCAGATGCTTCTCAAATACCATCAGAGCAAACATGTTTTGATATACAGACTTCAGGCAAGCCCATTCCACTTCTACTCACCGGGCTGAAGCCTTGAACCGCTCTAAAAACTGAAGTCTCAAGCTTTCGTGGCCAGGGAGGTCAATCAAGGTCAGGTTACTGCCCTAAGGATGGCAGCAAAAACGTTAAATTAATGTTTTGGTCCTGATTCACATACACAACATAAACCTTTCATATCAGGTTTCAGGTACCAGAAGAGTGGCCAATTAATTTTTAAAAAGTTCACTCTATTAATCAATGAATCAAACAAATGTTCACCAAGTATCTTCTATTTGTAAATCATCAGTCGAGGAAAAATGAACAAAAACAGACATGGTCCCTGCTCTAACAGACCTTATGATCAGAAATATCAACACAATGTAAAATTACATAAATGTAAATGTAAAATTACAACTCTGATACATGTTCTGAGGGTACATGAGAAAACCTGGCCTTGTCTGGGGGAGTCAGGGAAGTGTGGTCCATCAGAGGCTGGGGAAATACCCTAGTGTAAATAATAGCAAAACTAAATAATATAAGACCCTATATTTTACCATATAGCTTGTTACCATTATAGGGATCCCCAATTTTTATAATAAAACATTCTTTTACATTTCTATCATAATTTAATTTTAAATATGTCTACCAGACACATCATTTGTTCTAACTCTGTCAATATTTTGTGTCAATTCTTGATCCAGATAACAATCATTGAAACAGGGAGGAATGTGCCCCACCAAGCAGACTCATTAAGCACCATTTACATGCTATTTATTCCAGACCTTCATCCTAGAGCTCAGGTTCAATGTAGTCTTGCCCAAAGGCAAGACTCTCAGGTACAGCTCTGGCACATGTATCGTAAGACCCACAAATCATTTCTCAGATACTCTACCTTATCCATGGCCATCCTTAACCACTGTTTAGCAGGAGGAAGTCAGTATCACTCAGATTTGACATAAACATAGCTGAACTTATGATCTGTCACTTAGTCTGTGAGTCTTTTATGGGCAAAAATATGATGTGTTTTGTTTTTTTAAATAGAGGTAAGAGTCTAGGGACCTCAGGATGGGACCCACTACCACATTTCATAATCAGCACTGCAACAAACACTATTAAATAATCCATAGATCTGACATTTTGAATTTTTGTCCCATATGCATGTATTACATATTTAAGACATAAGTGAAAAGAGAAAGGCTTGATGCTCACCCTTATGACACAAATACTAATAAAATGTAATGTAACATCAGTGTACATGAGGTACAACAAAGGAGGGAGGCTGTGATTAAATCTGTTCTGGATGGTCAAGACCAGAATTTGTCACATAGATTCTATTTATCCATAACAATAAGCTACAACCTTAGACTAATTTCTGTTAGAAACGTCCTTTCCTGACACACCATAGTGAAGTAAAATGGTCACGACTCCCAACATTCTAGGAACTGCTTACCCTGGAATTGTTGACTCGGTACAGAGCAGAGCTGTCAGTGATGGAAGTCTGAGTGTCTCTGTAAAGGCCTGTTAACAACTGTAAAAGAAATAACATGGGTGAGATCAGTGTAAACATGTAAGTAGCAAACTTTAAGAGAGTAATTTTGTTCTAACGCTCCTAAGTGGTCCAATAAATGAGTGTGGCTTGCAGAAGGTGAAAAGAACCATGCTGACTTTTTTTCCCTTTACTTGTAGAAAAAAATCTAATCAATTGCAAACTTTATTCCCCTCTACCCAATTGAGGGAGGGGGAATCCCTGCTTTTTTCAAATAAGAGTTTCAAATAGTTAATGGTCAAATTTCCAACTTTCCTTACACCTTTTTAATTACTAAAATACTTATATTTCTTTATTGAAAGGAAAATCTTTTATACTCTCAAAAGGAAGAATGAGAACATCTCTGCTACTCTCCATAGTAAAAAAAAAAACAAAACAAAAAAAAGCAAAAATACTAAATAGATTAAAAATACTAGTGAAAAGAAACCTAAGGAGCCCAATGACAAAAATTTAAAATTTTTTTGTGACAAGCTATCAGAAAGAGTATACTGTACAATGGATTATACACCATATACAGATCAATGTCTTCTCTCTTTCCAGGACTTCTAGCATTCTAACCAAAGCATGAACGTAGTTACATAAAACCTTTAAATGGGATAAGGACTGAATTTGGTAAGCACATGAAAATAGAAATGGTCAAAAAATTCCAGTTCATGAGTTTCCAGCAGCCTTGTCCTTTCAGGTGAGTCAAGAATTAACTCCCTAATTTATCACCATCATAAATCATGACCTGACAGAAATAATGGGATGCCCTCAATTTTCCTATCAAGTTTGAGAGAGACGTAAATCAAAGCATTTACTCTGACAAAGAGCAACGTCTTCCCGGAGTCACAAAGGCCAACAAGAAGAACTGCTCTCTGACTGCTCCTTCGGCTGCGGATGAACTTCCAGATCACTGTGGAAGAGAGAAAACGAACCAAGATTACGCCTTATCAACAATAGTATGTGTGTATGGTTGGGGTGAGGAAGTTAACAGAAGTCTACAACAGAACACCGCAATTATATGAAACTTAGTTTTATTTTTTTATTACCACCATTATAATAGTTATTGTTGTTTAATAGACCCCACTGGGTACTGGCCACTATCAAGTATCAATATTATTATTAAGGTATCACATATTTGTCCTTAACCCCCCATTCCAATCCCTCAACTCCCCCCACTCATGCCCCCACCCCCCTATTGTCCTTGACCACTGGTTAGGCTCATATGTGTGCACATAAGTCCTTTGGTTGATCTCTCCCTTTTATCCCCACCCTCCCTTTGAGGTCCAACAATCTGACTCATGGCTCCTGATCTTTGGGTCTGTTCTTGCTCATGAGTCTATGTTGTTCACCATTTCCCCTAGATGAGTGAGATCTTGTCCTGGAAATATAAGAATCAAAACAGACAAGCAATAATCGTTATACTGAAAGGCATATGAATCAGTCTGCAGTGAGTTTTTTTCCAGGCCAACAGCTCTTTTGAGACCCAATTTCGATGTCAAAAGGTATCAACTTTTGTGTGCACCCCCTTTCCCGACTGTGGACCCTCTAAGTGCAATCTCGTCTAATAAATTCTGTATCCCCAGTGCCTAGCAGGCAAACACGCGACGCTCGAACTTGAAGGAGAGGCCCTGTGAGCCTTGGTAGTACGTAAAAGCAATCTAAGGGGGTCACCACACTCTCAGCGTGAACAGAGGTTGAAGAAGAGTAATCGGTTCACCGAGGACTAGGACATCCCTTCCAGGGTCACGAGGGTTCCCCTTTAACTCAGCGTTGCTCCCACTGCTTCGGGCAGGGGGACAGTGTGTCATCAGGGGTGAGTCTCCCTCAACAGACGACCCCCAGGTGCCTTCTCCGGCCGGCATCCTCCCAATCCAAGCCCGGACTCCCCGCCCTGCACCCTCCACAACCACCGCCGCCTCTTTACCCAGCGTCAGCAGCACCGCGAGAAGCGCCACCACGACTGACACCAGCGTCGGGTCCCTCTGCTGCAGCTCCTGCCGCAAGGAGTCCAGGTAGGGCTGGAAGGCGCCCCCGGCACCACCACCATCGTTCCCCATTCGCCGGGAGTCCGCGGAAGCCATGCTGAAGACGCCTGCGTAGTCTCCTGCACCGTAAATGCTACGTGTCCCTGCGCTCTGCGCAGACGTATGAAGCGGAGCATCACGGGAGTGGTAGTTCCTTGAGTTGTATATGATCTCCCCGAGGGCCATGGTCCCGAACGTCCTGATGGGAGTTGTAGTTCTATCGCACCGTTTGTACCGTGGTACAGTGCGTACCTGCTGCTCGCGCGAGCTGGGGCCACCGGAATTTCTCGAGTGAGGCTTTTATCCTTTTGAGATAAATTGTCAAATGTCGCCACCCTCTTCATGCTTTTGACAGAATGCTGGAGGAATAAAATGAGTGGCTTGAGAAATCTCCCATGAGGATTTCCAGTCGCTCCTTTCCTCAGGTGAGTCTTGTGATGAACTCAGACGTTACAGAAACATTTCTTTTTACTTGTTGATGGATTTTTATTTTTTTGTTGAGAGTATTAGAGATGTCCCCCATTTTCCCTCCTTCAACCCAGCCCCCGCCCTACCCCACGGCTTCACGGCACTGTAGTCTGTGTCCATGGGTTATACATACAAGTTTTTTGGGGGTAATAAAAGTTGTTTGGGTAATCTCTTCCCGTCCCTTCCAACCCCGTCCCCTCTGAGATTCGCCAGAGTGTTCCATGTACCCATGCCTGCGAGTCTGTTTTGTTCGTCAGAGTATTTTGTTCATTACATTCCACATGTGAGTGAGATCATGTGATACTTGTTTTTCTCTGATTGGCTTATTTCGCTTAGCATCATACCCTCCATGCTGTCTTAAAGGGAAAGAGACTTTTTTTTCTTTTTTTTTTCTTTTTTTTTTTTTTTTTACCGCTGCTAAGTTTTTCATGGTGTAAATGTATCACAGGTTTTTTTAAATCCACTTATCTACTGATGGGCACCTGGGCAGTTTCCACATCTTCACTACAGAAGCATTTCATCTGAATAGAATGTGGCATGGGATGTAACAGAGGATGGACGGTTAGATACGGGGATACAGAGAAGGACGCTTAGTCCATCATGGGTTCAGAGGATATCTCCTGGAAGAAGGTGACTGGGATGGAGCCGCAAAGGATGAGTTAGCCCCTAGCCTCTGTTGGTGTGAAAGGAGAAAGGGTGTTCTGGGCAAAGGCAAACAAGCAATTCAGTGTCCCTACCCTGTGACCCAGGGCTGCAACTGAGAGGTCTCCTGTAAAGCAGGCCGCCAGGAAAATCCGTGGGAGGGTGGGAGCTGTTGAAAAGGGCAGCTGTCATTTCCACCCAAAGGGGCATCCACAACCTGCCAGGCATGTATATGGGACCAAAGTGGTCAGTTCTTCCAGTTTTTAAAAGAATACTCACTCTAGGATGTGTTTAGAGATGGGAAGGGAGTGACAAAGGGGAGGAGGGAACATAACTGGTTGCCTCCTGTACAAATCCAACCAGGAATTGAACTTGAACCTCAGGTATATGCCCTGACTGGGAATCAAACCCACATTCTTTTTGGTATACAGGATGAGGCTCCAACCAACTGAGCCACTCAGCCAAGAAAGGCAGGTTTTCATGGTAAATTCTTGACTTTTCAAATCGCAGCCAGTAATGGAAAACATTCAACACCTTGTAGCCCAAACAAAACACATTATTGGGCCAGAAGTGCCATCCTAGGGACTGCCAGTTTGCAGACTCTGTCATAAAACAAGTGTCACTTCCACAGAAGTGGCAGGAGACGAAGCAGGAAAGGTTGGCGGGAACCAGACCTGAAGGGACTGCTGTGCCGAGAGACCTTGTTGCAGAATGCAGTAAGAAGTTTCGGTTGAAGGTGACATAGATGATCGACAGATCCATAGAGAACTATCATTTGGGGGAGAAAATACTGGAGGCTGGGAGACCAGCTGGGGACTGTTGCAGTGTTTTGACAAGAGATGCCCAAGGTCTAAATGAGGGACAGGTAGGTGTGGAGTGCACCAATTGGACAGATATGTAGAAGGAAAGTATATAGGGTGTGGTGATTAATTGGACATTCTGAGTTGTGCCACACCAGCACAGCCAAGGGTTCAGCGAGCCTGAGCTGGGGTAATGGAGGATGAAGAAATGATAGACAAAGAGAAAAAGCTGGGTGGATCTTCTGTGCTTTGCTGAGGCCACAGAACCGATCCAGACTGCAAAGCTGATGCTTTATTTATTGTCATGGACAAACAAGGTAATTTACAATGTTCTTGTGAGTTTCACTTGGCTGCCCCTCCCACAGCCCACTAGCTACCCAGGAAAGATCTAAAGAGCAGTTAGAAGATCAAGCTTAATTATGCTTAGAGGACTGTGCCCTCCAAGCTGGGACTTGTTTGAGACTTTGCCAGCAGGTCAGTCTGAGGCTTAACCCTATAGCCACTTCCTACGCTGAGTTAAGATGAATTATCAAGACTGCATCTATAGCAGTCGGTGTGGCTTACTGAGGCTATCAGAGTACATAAAGTGAATTAGAACTCACTTGCAGGGACTTTGGAGCTGGGAACAGAGACAGAATGAAAATTGCCTCTCTTTTGGATATATTGAATTACTGGTGCCTCTGGGAAATAAAAAAATCTTCACAAAGGCGATACAGGAAACAAATGGAAAGTTTCAGCAATAGGTGCTAGACTTTCACTAGGGAGTCGGAAACAAATGGTCATTAAGATCTTGGTGAGCTTGAAGAGTCAGAAGGAGAAAGGAACCCATAAAGAAGCCTAAGGAGGAGGAAGCAGCGAAACAGGAGTAAAGCATGTCCTGGAAGAGGTCAGCAGCATCTTGAAAGAGAGGTTCCTGCGATGAGGGCTTGAATATAAAGTGAGCTCAGGGGGACCTGGCTCATGTGGCTTCATGGTTAGTGTGTCTGCCTGTGCCCTGAAGAGTCTCAGATTCTATTCCCAGTCAATGCCACATACCTGGGTTGCAGGTTTGATCCCCTGCCCTGGCAGGAGTATGTGTGGGAGACAACCAGTCATTGTGTCTCTCTCATTGTTTCTCTCTCTTTCCCCTCCTCCCTCCCTTCCACTCTCTCTAAAAATCAATGGGGGAAAATAAAGTAAAATAAACAAAAATCAATTGTAAAAATATCATCCGGAGGATTAACAACTAAATAAAAGTGAGCTCAGGGAGAATAGAGGGGTGAGCGTTGGCAGTGGGGGCATGGATATGGAAGCAAGGGGAGGTGAAATGGGTAAGTAATTGCTAACATTAATGAATACTTGCTAGTAGGCATTGTCCTAAATACTTTTAATTTTTTTTTTAATTTGTTTAATCATCACAGGGACTCATGATCCTAATTTTACAGAGGACAAACTGACCCAGAGGTTAACTAACTTACTCATTGATTCCAGGCAGTTGGAATTTTCTATCTTAACTATCTGCTCTGACATGGTAAAATTCATTTCCCAGGCACTTCATCAATATGATAGGCAATGTGGGTGTTTAGGATGTGAGGTTAAAGTAAACCAACTACTTTTATTTTTAATTAGCATAATCAGTTTAAACTATCAGAACTGACAGCATTTGTATCTTATGATCCTAACCCCTGCTCTGTATGTACCACTCAACACACACACACCCCTCCTTTATAATAATCATTGATTCATCTGTTAGGGACTAAAAAACGCAGGGAAGGAGGAAGGACCAGACAAGGAGAACACACACCATAACTGACCTAACTGTGAGAAATTTTAGTCAGAGTTATGTGAATGAAAAAATACTGCCTTGGTGATGATATTTGGGAATGATAAAAGGAGAGTTTAAGAAGACACAGTCATTTTATTCCCAATTTCTATCCTGGGTATCACGAAAGCCAAAGAAAAGTGCACATTTTCCACACCCAAGTGAGAAGGTGGGGCTGCCATTCTCAGGAATGAGAGCAGGAGAGGATGGGATCAGCTGCTTGCTATCCTCTAATAGGGGTGTCGAACTCAATCAGAGAAGGGGCCAAATTCTAAAATCCAGCCTAAATCGCGGGCCGAATGGTTTACTGAACAGTCATAAACAGTCATTGTGATGGAAACGCAGCGGAGTGCAGTGATGACAGCGCGGTGCGGGCCACATTGCAAGGCCTGGCGGGACGGATTTGGCCCGCGGGCCTTGTGTTTGACACATGTGCTCTAACAGGTCCACCTCCTGGACACCACAGGCTTCCAGGATCTAGCTGAGGATGGATGCAGAGGAAGGACATGCAGAGAAAGGCAGCAGAAAGAGTTCTGCTGAAAGAGTTCTGTTCCTTGATTCAAATAGCAGATGGACAGTTACTGCGAAACAAAGTGTAGTGATACAATTTTTTTTCTCTTCCATTAATTAAAATGTCTCATTCACCAGATACATCCTTATCTCCTCTCTTGTTCCCAACAGTTCCAAAGCACAATGGAACCTATCTCAGACTCAGGGACACCAATTATGTGATTCCCTACTCTGGCTTGTCTCTTTAACTCTGTCTTTTTGAAAAAAATATTTATAGAGGATTTTTAAAAAGAATTAAAATGAGTTATACTTATTAAAAGCTCAAACAGCCGAAACCGGTTTGGCTCAGTGGATAGAGCGTCGGCCTGCAGAATGAAAGATCCTGGGTTCGATTCTGGTGAAGGGCATGTACCTTGGTTGCGGGCACATCCCCAATAGGGCGTGTGCAAGAGGCAGCTGATTGATGATTCTCTCTCATCAATGTTTCTAACTCTCTATCCCTCTCTCTTCAAATATATATATTTAAAAAAAAAAAAAACTCAAACAATAATGAAAGATCATGGAGGCATGGAACTGACTGACATCCCTTGAGGTGGGGTTTGGGGTATGAGAAGAGATTAATTACATAACATATATGCATAGCCCATGGACATGGGCAACAGGGTAGTGAAGACCTGGAGGGTGGATAGGGGCTGGGAGGAAGGAGTTAATGAGGATGCGGGGAGAATGGGAGATATCTGTTATACTATCAACAATAAAAAATATATTTAAAAAAATAATGAAAGGTCAAAGAAGGCAGCCACAGATCACCTCAAAACTTTTATACCTATAAGTAACTGTGAACATTATTTTAGGCATTTCTCTGTACATATATATGGATAAGAAGGCAATCTAGAAAGAGGGATAAATAAAAGTACACAGAAATTATTTTAAGGTACTATAGCATGCACTGCTATATTTGCAGTCCCTAGAACAGTGTCTGGCTCATGGTAGGTGCTTAGTACATTGTTGACAAAGGTAGGTGTGTTGTCTCATTGTAGTAATACAGACTACACTCCATGGGATATCTCACCAAATAAAGGAAAAGGAAGTTATTATAGGATTTGGGGTAAGGGTGGAGTTTTGGTGAATATTTAAAAAGGCAGAGTGCTGATAGGCTCAAAGCAAAGTAGGGCTATTGTGAAAATGTGAACATCAGGTCTTCACTGCAAAGTGGACCTAGAATCCTGTTTCCATGGACATTAGAAATGTAAGAGAGATGTGGACTGTTGTGTCCAGAAACTCCTTTCTGCAGCTCCATTCCTGAGTGTAAATTGAGACTATGGAAGGAGTTTGGAAATAAAGGGACAAACTGGAGAGTTGTTTAGAAGGCAGAATCAGCAGAACTTGCTGACATTGGACATAGAGTGAGGGAAAACAGTGAGCTGAAATTTGACTTCTGTGCAGGTACAAGACCATGACTTTAGCTGGTGTGAAATATATATAAACAACAGTTAGGTTAGGGAAGCAGGAAAGGGAAGGGGGGCAGGATGATCATCTCAGTTTTTTGACTTGTTGGATTTCTGGTTCCTGTGAGAACTCTACAAGTATAGTCACCCATAATAAGGAGCAGGGGGTATGAGTGTGGGGACACTGGAGGCAGGAGGCAGAAATATAGATATAGATGCCGAAGAGTCACTCACATTGTTTAGGGATGGCCTGCAAAGTGAGAAGAGTGCTGGGTCAAGAGAAAACCCCCAGAATTATGTCCCTACAATTTTAGGGCTGACAGGATGGGCCCAAAGTAAGGCCACAAATGGACAGAGGGACTACCAGGGCAGAGAAGCTGGACACTTCCAAGGAAGACCTTAGCCAGGGTTTACCCAGGTGACCTTAGCCAGGGTAGCTAAAGAGAAGTGAGTGGAACGGAAGGCTGATTTCCATATGTGCAGCCATTAATCATAAAGGAGGCATGGAAAGAGCGAGCCTCCATCTTTCAGGACCTTGACTGGGAAGGGGAGGAGACAGGGCAATGACTGCTGTGGGAATTGGGGTCAAGGGATGATTTTTAGCAAGAAGATGTTCCAGTGATTCACTTTTCCAACCAGAATCAGGATCTCATAAAATTCATTTAAAAATTTTTATATAAATATTTTATATTCTTTTTCTGTAGTCTATCTCAATAACTCACTCTGCATCCTCCTTTTTGCCTCTTCCCTAGTATCTATCTCTCTCTCTCTATCTATCTATCTCTCTCTCTCTTTCTTTCTCTCTCTCTCTCTTTCACACACACACACACACACACACACACACACACACACACAGCCACATACACTTGATTCCATTATGATGACCATGCAAACCCTTTTAGAAAGAATTCCTAGTGGGACTGTGCCCAGGAGGTGTGGCTGTGGCACCACAACTGAAGCTGTGGGAAGGATCAGATCTTGAGCTCTGAAGGAAGGGCTCAATTGCACACATATTTAGATGGATGGTATAGAAGAAATCCTTCCAGGACAAACATTTAGGAAAGAATTACGTTTTTAAAAGATAAAACCAATAATATTTTTTTTTTATTTCCTGCACAGATGGCAACATTGAACTATGAAGGCAGCCAAAAAACCACTCAGGCCAGCGAGACCAGGGGACAGTGATGGGTCACATGAGCTCCCATCTCCATCAGCTCATGGTCCCGTTTTTGGAGTTACATGTTTATGGAAAGTGCAGGCTTCCAGGAGTTCTGTAGGGGAAGAAAAGAAAGGTAGGAAAGTCAGTATATACCTATATTTATTTTCTGTCAAGTGAATGAATAGTTAAACCTGATACAAAAGCATTCAGACCGTAGAATGGACCATTCATTCTCTCAGTGGCCTTCCCCGCTTGCCTGCATAGCCCTTGTGCCTACCCCAGGTCATGCCCCATGCCAAAGATGGTAACACAATTTCCCTGCCCTGCATCATCCCTCACCTGGTGTCTTATAGGCAGAGCTCCTACACTTGAGTCCATGTGATTGAGAGGAGCCTGTGAGTACTGTCCTCTCTGACCTCTTTAGGCTGGAAAAGAACCACTCATAGCAAGATGCACCAGGCACCTGCATGTGTCAGTTTCCGTACTAGGGGCTGGGATGGAGCAGAGAACAGCAGAGCCGGACTTTCTCCCCTCTTGGAGGATATAGGTTAGATAAATATAACTGGGTGCTCACAACAGTGGCCATGGGCAAGCATGTTCCTTACATCAAAATCATGTGGGGCAGCTGTTAAAGTGCAGAAAACCTGACTGTGGCACAGACTTGCTGATTCAGTATCCACAGGGCCATGGTCCTTAAGATATGCTTTCTTAAGGACTATGGCTCACTTATATGCACACAAAAGTTGATGTATATTCATCCTATAACATATTATTCTCCCACAACTTCCAAATGATTTCAAGTGATTAAATGAGGTCCAACATAGATATAGGGCAAATGTACTGTTTTGTATTTTAATTCTGAGAAAACTGGTGTTCCAGATGAGTATTATATATATGACAACTTTATAGTTACCAGAATTATTATTGTCCAAGCTCCCAAGAGCAGCACTGTGTTAAGGAACTTTCTGCATTGATGGAAATGCATCTTTTCTCACCTATGTGGAGCCACATGTAGCTGTTGAGCACTGGAATTATGGCTAGTGTGACCAAGGAACTAAATTTTTCATTCATGTTTAAATTTAAGTAATTTAAATTTAAATGGTGGTATATAGCTAGGGTTGCCATATTAGACAGTGCAACTCAGAATAAAAATTTTAAAGGATTTTGGTGCAGAGCAATGGGCACATAAATCCCTTCTTTTCTTCACAATAACATGGGATTCTGCATATCCAGGCAATTCACTACTTCAGTGCCTTGAGTCAATAGCCTTCTTGCCAACCGCCCTTACAAGTAGCCTTCATATTTCCTGGGATTATGCGTTCGCTTATTGTTTCATCTTGTCCAGTGGTCATCTCCTGGAGCTATAGCCCACTTCTCCTTTTGTAACCACCACCCAGAACCCTGCCGTATTTGCTTTGCAGCTTCCCCCATGCTGTTCCTCCTACTCACTTGAAGTTGAGCACTGTTTCAGGTTACCCACAGCCGTGACATACTCTGCTCCTAAATAGGATTCATACGTTGTTCTTTCCTGAAGTTCGGCCAAACATTTTGTGTCATCCTTGAACAGTAGGTCCTTGGTTTTAGATTGGAATAGACAAAAGTCGCTCAAGCAGTCATTTTCATTTTTTCCAAATAGGGTCTGTCAAATGAATAGAAAGTTCTGAGGATCTGTGGAAGTGAGAAACTAGGAAAATATGGATGGGATGGAGGAGGCTAGAAGTTAAGAACTGGCTTTGGAAAGCAAGAGAAGCTACCAAGGATGCTTCTCCACCTCCCTCACCTGGCCTTCACCCACTTTTGGCCCTAGCTCCAAGCTTCCATGAAGTCCCAAAGTCCTCTGTAGGGTCCCTCCTGGTCCACATCCTCTGTGGAGTCTTTCCGACCCAGCCACCTGCTCCTGATTTCTCTGATCTCTCCACCCCACTTCCTTGGCCATGGTCTCATGAACAGCTTCCAGGAAACGAGAGGTCAGGCAGAAACATGTCCCTTCCAAGTGTTATTGTCAAAGAAGAAGTTAAACATGAGCCACCCAATAGGTGGAGGTACAGGTAGTTATTACAAGTTCATGTTTGGCTAAATGTTTTTTTTTTAATCTTCAAGGGAATGTTTTTATTGATTTTTAGAAAGAGAAGGGAGAGAGAGAAACATTAATCAGTTGCCTCCTGTAAGCACCCCAACCAGAGATTGATGGAATCAAACCTAAAACCTTTTAGTTCACGGAACAACACTCCAACCGATTGAGCTACCCAGCAAGGGCTTGACTACATTTTTTATCCTATGTTGGGCAAGACGCTTAATTATTCCACACTTCCTAAGCATATAAGTGAAAAAATGATTATAAAATGTTTAGCATTCCACCTAGCACCTAGGAAATCTTCATTAAATCTGAATTATTATCATAATTTACCATAAGAGGACTCATAAAAATAAGCTATCTTAAGTTTTTAAAAATAAAGCTATTGGTGATTGAGTAGGCAGTTAGTATTAGTGGGTAGAGGAGCCTTTAGAATTAGAATACGCAGGCAGGCCCAGCCAACATGGCTCAGTGGTTGAGTATCAACCTATGAACCAGGAGGTCCGGGTTCAATTCCCCATCAGGGCTCATGCCCAGATTACGGGCTTGAGGAAGTGTGCAAGAGGCAGCCAATTAACAATTCTCTCTTGTCATTGATGTTTTTCTCTCCTTCTCCCTTCCTCTCTGAAATCAATAGTGATATATATATTAAAAAAAAAAAAGAATACTCAGGCAGCCCATCTCCTCACCAAGGCGTGCCAGAGGAGAAGCTCCATGAGGGTTGGGACCTTGGATTTTTCTGGATGTTTGACTCATTCTCAGTCTGTCTAAGCAAGGCAAACACAGATCCTCATTTCATGACCTGTGTCAAGGAGGTCTGGGAAACAGAATCAGTCTCTTTCATTTAAACAAAATGCAGATGTGCAGAAAATGAGGGTACCAAGGACAAAGCAGGAAGGCAGACCTGAGGACATGCACATCAGATGGAGGCTAATCTCCAGTGACCAGGATAGCCAGGCCTACGAGATCCACTTTGAAAATCCATACCCTCACAATTCTAGTTTCCAGAAAGAGAATGCGGGAATATGGGCTGCATTTAGCTGTGAGCTCCTCCCAAATTATCCACACCACTCAAAGAGAAAGGGTGGAGGCCCCGGCTGGTTCATACCTGCTGTTCAAGTAGCACCTGGCGAACACAAGCTGCCTTATCTTGCCTTGAGACCACACCATGATTTGGGGATCGGGCTAGGTGGCAGTTCTCAGCCTCAGACACAGGCTTCCTGGTGCCATCAGGGCACAGCAGCTTGAAATCTTCCTGCTTTAGGTTCTTAGCCCAGTCTTCAGTGTTCTTCCCTGGAGATAGAGTTTGGTCAGCCACAGCTGACAGCTTTGGTCAAGTCACCCTCCCCGGGGCGCAGTGATCAATTCACTGGTGTGTGGAGGGCCTGGACCCAGTGGCCGACAGAAGTGCACACCATGAGGTCACAGTGATGTGAAGAACAAGAGACTTATCAGGAATTCCTAGTGACCATCCCTTCCAACCTGTCTCCCCCCCCCCCCCCCCCCCCCCCCCCCCTCCCCGCCAGAGAAGAGGACTGTAGTCTGTGGATGCTGTTCCAAAAGTTCTTTATTTCTACTAAATTTCAAAGCATTTAGGCCTCTTGCTCCAGCATAGGAAGTACGTGACCCTCAACTGATTGACAATCTTCTTGCACAAACAAGCAAAGGAATTTTCCCCAGAAGCCCTTTTGGAAACTAGTGGTGTTTTAAGTCTGACTCGCTCATACTGGCTCTGTGTGAAAATGTGTACATCCCTCTGTGCATACAGCTCTATACCCTGTTCTCAGCCCTTTGCTTCACCTTCTCTGTATTCTCTCTGGAAAATAATCTTACCCATTCTCAGGGTTCTGGCTTTTTCCTCCAGAAGCAATTCTCAAATATGTTTTCCTACTTTTTACTTCTCTCCTAATCTTTTCCTTAATTTAATTTTCTTTTTTTCAAAAATATATTTTATTGATTTTTTACAGAGAGGAAAGGAGAGGGATAGAGAGTTAGAAACATCGATGAGAGAGAATCATCAATCAGCTGCCTCCTGCACACCCCCTACTGGGAATGTGCCCGCAACCAAGGTACATGCCCCTGACCAGAATTGAACCTGAGACCTTTCAGTCCGCAGGCCGACGCTCTATCCACTGAGCCAAACTGGCTTCAGCTCTTTTTTTCATTTAATGGAACAACTAATACATGAACTCACTGTTATAAAATTTTATATTACTTATCTATAAAGTCAAAATACCTGTTTTCTATACTCCAAAATGTACTCTTTTAGACTTAGTAGAAAACTCAAATTGCCTAACCATACACATCTTCACTCACCTTCAAAAATTTCTCCCTTCTTTTCTTACCAGTTCCTCCAACTCAACACCTTCCAAATGAAATCTATTCTAGTTCTCTTTAAACCCTGGTTCTACTCATTATTTAAGCATTTATTTAATACAGTGTTCTCAGCCCTATACAAGACGCAGTCTGACTAGAGGGGAAGATAGCACACACGCCAAAAGCAAAGATTCAGGGCACAGATAATAACATTTTCTATTTGGTGGAATACACTACACTCTAAATGCTGTGTGAACTCAGAACCAGCACAGTGAGGGTACATTAATTAGGGAAATTTAGGTGGAAGAGGCAAGGTTTTACCTGTCTTGTAATGTATAGAATTGGGGGGAGGAGAAAGGAATGCTTCTCTGGGGAAGATGGAGGGCACTGGTAAGACCCAGGGAGGTACAAACTTGGTGTTTCTAATGGGTGAAAGGAGAATTGGACCCAGTGGGACAGTTTCGGTGGTTGGGCTGAGCAGGTGAGGCACACCCAGGCACTAAAGGCCTTGAGTGTGGGATGGAGTGTGACATGTGGCAGGAGGGAAAGTGGGTCTATGAGGATTTATGAACGGAAGTCAATATGACTTCCATGTCTGTGTGAGCCAGAACCTAAAATAGGACAATTACGAATAATGAGATGGGAGGAGATTTAGTCTGAGTTAGCAGTAGGACGATAGCAGTGAGCATCTAGAAGTACATGATAAAACTTTTTATTTCCAATAAAACTTATCATTGGTTTTGGTTTTGGTTTTACAACAGTAATTTGTAAAATGTTACCCAGTTTAAAGAAGAAAATTTTGAAACACTTAAAATCCTACAGCAAACACTTTTCAGATTGGTGCATTTCTTCTAGTCATTTTTCAACACCCATACTTTGCAGACAAATCTAAATCATTAGATCATAGACTCCACATGCTTTTTTATCCTGATTCTTCTATATCACAACATATCATGGAATTAATAAAAGACAGTTTTTGAAGAAATAAGAAACATACTGAGAGACTAATCTAGGCTTGACTGGCAGGGCATATAGTCAAGTCTCCAATGGGGACAGAGGCTGTAGGAAGAGGCCTGGATTTTGAGAGAATATGAGGAGTTTGGATTTGCACAGGTTGAGGTTGCAGCACCAGTGCACTTTGTACATAGAAATGACCATGTGGCAATATACGTTAGGCTTCCTCTCTGAATTCCCCTCAAGAGGCAAAGCTTTTGGAGTCATTGCAGAGAGTGGAGAATTAAAGCCTAGAAAGGGGAGCCCTACTTAGAAAAGTACAAAAAGAAATCAGGGAATGACAAAGAACCAGTCTTAGGGTAATTCTCCATAGCAGGAGAAAAAAAAAAACAAAAAAACAGCCCTTAAAGAAAAATAGTAATAATAATAGGAGGGAGGAAAGAAAAATTAGCCAAAACAATATTCCTTCAAGTAAGTATTTAGCAACGTCTGTATGCCACATACTATAATCAGTGTCTAGATAGAAAAGGAGGAAAAAAGAAGCTCAAAGACTTCCAATGGCCACAGTTTATTATTATAAAGTGTGATGAATTCAATAACACTAGCAGTATGGACAGGGATTCTGTTGTGGATGTTTGTGTCCCATCAGGGAACACTTCTTGGAGGAGATTGAGTTAGTTTATTCTAGATGGGTAGCTAGAAAGATTTGAGGTTGGGTGAAGGGAAAGAGGAAAGGAAGGGAAGAAATAGCTTCTTGGACTATATTGCATTCTATGAATAGTTAGTAATATAGAGCAGGCAGGTGGAGTACTCATTCTTACAAACTTTAAAAACTTTTTCTTGTTCCTTTTTTTTTTTTTTTTTAATCCTGAGGATATATGTTTTATTTATTTTGAGAGAGGAGAGAGAGAGAGAGAAAGAGAAACATCAATTGGTTGCCTCCTCTATGCACCCTGACTGGGATCAACCTGTAACCAAGGTATGTGCCCTGACTGAGAATCAAACCCACAATCTTTTGGTTTATAGACCAATGCTCCAACCAACTGAGCCACCTGGCCAGGGCTTGTTTTTTAATGTCATAGCCATCCAATAGCCACCCTCTAGTTTTAGGATCCAGTAATGGTTTTTGATTGAATCAATCATGACTATATTGTTTGTCAAGTGATAGTTTTTTAACTTTATAATTATTTCTACGTTTATTAGTTTAGCATTCTACAATAAGGAATATCTGTTCCTTTATCTTCATTTGTTTAATCAGGATCGACTCATATTATTTTATTCAATTGATTATCATAGTTTACACTATTATTATTTCTTTTAATATTCAGAATGCCCCAGATTTGGCCAGTTGGGGGTCCAAATGGCTCCTGTGTGCTTCCTCGTGTCCCATCACTCTGATCACTTCCATGTGATGTTCCAAGCTCACCTTATATTTTTCCAGCTCAGCGCTAGAATAGGCTATTGTTCTAAGGGGCCCTGGTTACTTTTAATGGAACTGGTTCTAGAATCCAATATCTTGTGCTCATCCCTACTAGTATGCCACCGTCTCTAGGGTTTTTTTCCCCCAGGGGTCATAGAATATATTTGGGATATATATATATTGGACATGAAAACATAGGAAATAATTATAAAGGACCCTTTTTCAATGATTCAGAAAAGTTAAATATGGACTATGGATGTAATGAATATTAAATTCATGCTAATGTAAATATCCTCATCTTGATAATTATAAAGTAGGTATCTAAGAGAATGTCCTAGTTCTTATGAAATATGCCCTGAGCCCTAACTGGTTTGGCTCAATGGATAAAGCATCAGCTTGCGGACTGAAGGGTCCCAGGTTCGATTCCAGTCAGGGGCACATGCCTGGGTTGCGGACTTGATCCCCAGTAGGGGGCATGCAGGAGGCAGCCAATCAATGATTCTCTCTCATCATTGATGTTTCTATCTCTCTCTCTCTCTCATTTTCACTTCCTCTCTGAAATCAATAATATATATTTTTTTATTATTTTTTTTCAATAAAATATATTTTTTAAAAAAGAAATATGCCCTGAGGTATTTAGAGGACAGGCAGCATAATGTCTGCAGTCATAGTAGGGTTCCTGGGGTAGAATTCAGGGCCACTGGAACCTCACGGTTCTTACCACGCTGCTTACCCAAGTGAAAAACCTCTCTTCACTGAACAAAAAGGTTGAGAATCAGAGCTCTGTTGCCTGACAGAGTCCATAACACTTTCACCAAAGCATCCTGAGCACAACGGAACACAGCAACCCTGGTGCAGAGGGACAGAGGAGCATGCGCACATACCGCCAGTGTTCTGCAAGACAGTCTCTTCTTTCACAAAGGCCACGTCTCCACTTTCAACCAGGCACCTACAGAGAGCAAGATAGGGAGAAAAGAGAGGAAGTCAGCAAGATAGATCTGTCATTCAGAAGGGCAGCCTTACAGATCTAGAGCTGGCCATCTGACATCAGCAATTGTGACTCCCCTTCTATCACTAACCTAATATTTCAAATAATAGATTATCACTACTCAACTATTATTACTAATCTTACATCACGAAGTAGTAAAGAAAAAGAAATCTCTGATTTCTTGGTTCCACACACTAAATCTTAAATTCTGGCACAGTTTCTCCAACAGAGAGAGCTACATCAAAACAGATATTAGACAGTAGTTTTTCCAGTGAGGTGATTTCTTTGTAAAATTGGAAATGTGTAGGACTGTGCATTTTATTTGCTCTAATTCACAAGGTGGTTCTAACTGATACATTGGGATAAATTTTTGTGTTTTTCTTCATCGAGAAGTTCAATTACAATATTTGTGCAGTTGATGGATTAATGAACCAAGTAACATAGGCCTGAATCAGAAAGGATAATTAAAAAGTAATAAGATCATAAAGTGAACAGGTGTCTCTATTTAAAAATGATAAACATTCCATGAAATAGAATTATAGTTGGGAATGTAGAAATCATGTACTTTACTTTCATATATTTCCAGGTTGAGTGTGGTTGTAGGTTCCCCAGAGATGCATGAATAGCATGATCCAGGCCCCTGATTTCTGTAATCAACTATGATAGGGTTCCTTCACATTGGCACTTGTAGCATTTTGAGCCAGATAACTGGTATAGGGTGCTGTCCTATGCATGTGGGATGTTTAGCAGCCTCTACCAATTAGATGTCAGCAGCACCCTCTCCCCACCCCAACCCGCTCCAGTCTTATTTGATAATCAAAATAATCTCCAGACATTGCCAGTTATCTCCAGAGGACAAATTGCCAGTGTTTGCTGTCTGTGACAGCCAGGTCTGGAGACAGTCCTGGAGGCCCTTTCACACAGGGTTCTACATATGGTTGCTGAATGTGGTACCTGAAACAGGCAGGACTAATACGCTAGTAACATAAGAAACTTACCTTAGTACCAAAAAAAGGAATCTTGTCAGATTTTGGAGAATTATATTTCAGCATTATAAGACTTACCTGAGAGCCCCTGTGTAGCCATAGTATCTTTCATTGTTGTTGGGTTCACACTCCTTTCCTGGAACACTTGCTGAACCAATACACAGAGCACAGAGACTGGAGGTTTTTGCATACCCAGGGGCACAGCCTTGACTGAAAAATTTATCTGCAGAAGGGCAAGAGGAAGCCAGCTTTTCCTAAGTAAGTCGATATAAATGGCTTTCATCTAACACATTAACAGGTGTGGATAGCCCAAGACAGGTAGAATGTACTCATTTATTCTGGAACCTGCCACCAACTCAGGACCCACCAGGCTATAGGATTTAAAGGGAAACTTAATTAAGACTGGGAATAGAAGTTAGTGACTGTTACAATTCTGGTGAAGAAAATTCTTTCGACCCCCTGAGAATGGTATCACTTATCTAAAGGAAAAAGATGGAAATAACATAAAGGGGATAAAATTGAAGGTCTCACTCCCTGAACTTGTGCCACCTATTTGCAGATGTTTTCTTCTCCTGCCATTTATTACAAGAGGCTTTAACAGAACTTAGAACTCCATGATCAGAAAAGGGCTGGGAAAACTTAGTCACAGCTCAGCTGCTCTTTCCTGGCTGTAACACTTTCAGGAGAGCAGAGGTGGTGCCCTTGCTGGTTGGGAACCAAAGCTTCTGAATGTCCCAGCCACTCTTTGCTTCTTGTCAGATTGCTATCAGAACAACTGGGTGCTTTCTTGTGATCCAGTCCACACACATGACTCATCTGGTTCATAACTGTTTTTAGAGGACTCTCCTTTTTACATGTTACATGTATTTGGAGGTGGCAGGGAGGACATACTCAGGAAGTTAATGTAAAGGAGAACCATTAGAAAACATTTGGCCATGGTGAACTTCACCTGGGTCTTTAGGGGCTAAAACTAAGCTGGAGGATATTCAGAGGACAGAGGATATACTGATTTCCATCCCTTGGAAGGGTCTAGGGAATTGGGACCTCGCACTCACATTACCTAGAAAGCCCTAAGGCAGGGATTATAGCAGTTGACCAATAGCTATTTCCCGTGGTTCCTTATTAACAAAGATCTAGCTTTTTCAATATTTTTCTCCATTTATCATTTTTGTTGATACATAATTGACATTTAATATTATATTTGTTTCAGGTATACAAATAATGATTATGAATATATTGAGAAATGATCACCACAATAAGTCTAGTTAACATCTGCCATCATACAGTTATAAAACTGTTTTTCTTGTGATGAAAAATTTAAGATCTCTATTGGCAACTTTTAAATATGCAACACAACATTATTAAGTTTAGTCACCATGCTGCATATCCCCATGATTATTTATTTCATAACTCAAAGTTTGTACCTTTTGACTCCCTTTACCCATGTTGTCCAAACCCACCCCTGGCATCTAGCAACTATCAATGTGTTCTCTGTATATATGAACTTGGTTTGGTTTTCTTTTCCTGTTTTTGTTTTTATTTTTTAGATTCCACATATAAGTAAATCATACGATATTTATCTTTCTCTATCTGACTTATTTCACTTACTATAATGCCTTCAGGGTCCATCCATCTTGTTGCAAATGCAAGATTTTCTTATTTTTTATGGCTAAATAATATTGCAGTGTGTGTGTGTGTGTGTGTGTGTGTGTGTGTGTGTGTGACATTTTCGTTATCCATTCATCTACTGATGGACATTTAGGTAATTTCCATGTCTTGGCTATCTTCTTCTACCTACACTATTAGAGAAAGATGCAAATTGACTGTACTTTTGTGACAGGAATGAGTATGCAAATTAACCCAACAAAGATGGAGGGTTAATTTGCATATGCAAGTAATGAGCAGCTGAGGATGTGGCAGGACACTTGTGTCTTCATGGCAACAACGCAGGCATTCAACACTGCCCCAGCAGCTCTGGGCCTCTGGGCAGTGTGGGAAGACAGAAAGGCAGCTCCCGGCCGGAGCCAAGGCAGAAAGGCAGCTCTAGGCCACAGTGAAGGCGGAAAGGCAGCTCCAGCTGGAGCAAAGATGGTGTCGGCAACCAGGGGAAGGAAGGCCCACTGCACAAATCTTCATGCATCAGGCCTCTAGTATATATATATATATATATAAAAGGTTAATATGCTCTGCCCATCTGACTGGTCAGTATGACACACATTGACCATCAGAGGGCAGGCACTCAACACAGGAACTGCCATGACATGCACTGGCCATTAAAAAATAAATGGGACCGTGGACCTGGCATCGACTAACCAACACTCAGCTTCCCCCAAGTGGGACACAGGCCCAGCCACCACCCCGGAGTAACACTTTACCAAATTGCAGCCAACGGTGTCAAAACCCCATGGCACAAAATGCTGCCCACAGCCCAGCCTAGCCTGGAAACTGTGGTTGTGGGTACTGATAATGGCATCATGTAGCAACGCCTAGTTTCCTCTCCCTAGCGACTAGCCTCCTTGCAGTTTCTTCAGCCTAGGAACAGGACTTTCTTTATAGCCAGGTGGAAACATTTATACTTTAACCAAATGTCTGTGAAGTGTTTTCCTGTGCCTCAGCTCATTTGATCCTCAAGGAAGTCCTGGAGTAGGTAGATGGGAGACTCAGTAGAATCCTATTTTCATTTGCCAGAAAACGGAGATTTAGAAAGCTTAGAAACTTGACCCAACTGAAAAGATGTAAAAAATGGTGAACCTTGAAAATGACTTCAGGTTTTCTCACTGTGTAGAATATAATCAAACACTGCTGCAGTTAATGATTTTACCCTTTGTTCTCCTGCTGTGATCTACAATAGTAATCTGCTTCATGTTGATATTTACTGCTGTGTTGCTAACAATTACCTGAAAGAGAAGTTGGGGTGCTTCTCTGGGCTGAAAAAAGTTTAGCTAAATCAGAAAGCAGGTCTAATTAAGCAAGTTTATTCTATATATATATATGTGTGTGTGTGTTTGTGTGTGTGTGTGTGTGTGGCTAAGTTGACTTGTGTATGTGTGATACATATAAAGCTCTTGCTGGTGCTAATCGCATGTGTATGTTTCGATGTATCATTCTTGATCGTGAATTTGGTTGACACTTCTAATCTAAAGGGCAAATATTGATATTAAAATATTTCCTCTAATTAGTTTATTTTCAATGTGCATGGATTTGTGCACTAGGCCACTAGTAAATAATGCTGCAGTAAACATGGAAGTGCATATATGTTTTTGAATTAGTATTTTTTTTATAAATATCCAGAAGTAGAATTGCTGAATCATATCCAGAAACATGCCCAAATTAAAGATGACCATTTTCCAGTGTTTTTTAGAGTTAAGTGGATTATGTGCCTAAATTCCGAGCAATGAGAAGTTATTTGAAGTGATTGGGTTAGATTTCCTGGATGGCTTCTTTAATATGTTAACAGCAGGTGACATTCACTTTAAGTTGCTATTACTCCTTGCTCCTTGAGGTTTCCTGGATTATGGATGTGACGGTAATTGTGGATGACCTTGAAGATAGAGGCCTCATGCTCAGAATGGTGAAGCAAAAGAGAAAGGGTTTCTAATGATGATATCAGCATGGACTACTCACCTCTCCTCTTTTTCATGAGAGAAAGGTAAGCCATTATGTGCAACCACAAAGAACTATTTTGATGCATCTCTCCAGCCCTACTGTCTTTTTAGGTATTTCCTTAAGGTTCACTTCAAACAAATTTTAACAACTATAGAACCAGGGCCACAGCAGCATTTTGTACTATACCGCTCTCTTCCCAGGTCACCTTTTTCTGGCCTGCCCTGACTACAGGGACCTCCCAGGATTCACTCACCAAATTCACAGTGATTGAGCCTGTTGTAGATCAGGCCCATGGGGATATTCCAGCCAGCAGTTCTATCTACTGCAGTGTGACAGGACTTCTTGTTTTGTAGAGTCTCCCATGTGAGGTCCTCTGATGATGATGACTTAACCACAGCCACAGCCAAATATCCTATAAGAAATATGCCAAAAAAATAATGATATATTAACACCTCTATGCACTCCAGAGTGTCTGTCTGCAATCAAAGTCTGCCATCTCCCTAGGGAAGCAAAATTATTCTGAATTATTCCTACTGTCTCTGAAGGAGCCCTTACCAATAACAGTGAGGTGAATACAAGTGATTCTTTTAGGTGGAGATTAATCTGAACTGAAAAATCAATATAACAAGAATATGTTATCATAGAGCAGTGGGTGGTGTATGACCCTTTTCCAAATGCACAAAGCTACTGAAGTTAAAAATCAGCAGCTCACCTTCCACTGGGGACTATCAGAAAAATGAATACTGAAGAATACATAGTGTACTAATAATTATTAGGAAATATTGTATATGGCCAATAAACTGCAGGGAATATTCTGTCCAGATATGTTGCGATAAGGAGAATACAGATTTGCACTAAAATAAATATGTGAAGTGCAAACTGTCAAAAGCAAGTCAGCTACCATTTTTAGCAGCAAATAGTTGCTGATTCTTAAGACAGGAAATGGAACATCAACCTGTGATTTCAACTTTCTAATTTAACTTAGTAACTTGTTTACAACAGAAAACAGAGAAGTCATATTATCCATGGAGTGAGAATAGGCCTTTCTGTATTCTCCTACTGAGCTTGGCTCCTAGAGTGATGGGAAAAGGCTGGGAAGTTGTAATCAGGAGAAGTCACAAGGACAGAATTACACACTAGTAGCTGGAAAATGACCTGGAGAGGTCTGTGCATAGAGGTTCTGAGGCCCAGTGCTTACCAGGGTGTAAGAGTTCCTGACTTGCTCCCACTCCATCTTTCCAAATCCACCCCAGCCAGAACCCTGGGCAAGAGCCACCATTGGCCTGGATTCCTGAGCCCAGCCCTGTCTGGAAGACTGGGGAAATTTATCCTCTTAGACATCTGCCTGTGGGAGCCTCTCTCCCCAGCCCTGCCAGACAAAATATGCAAGGCTCCTGGGCTGGTACTAACTTTCATTTGAAACTGCAGGCCTAATGTAATACAAGGCAGTCAGGAGTGGTGAGGAGGGTGTGGATGTACTTACAGGATATAGGAGCCTAGACAGCTTATAAACTCTCTCAGAGTCTTCAACATCCTTAGAGGATGACAAGACCTACTTTATAGGATTCAATGAGAAATCCTTTGTGTAAGTCTTGGCAAGTGTAAAAGAGGACCCATCATTACCATTTACTATCTTTCCATGGTTCTTTTGCATTCTAAAAATTGATCTATTCTGTTGCCTTATCTACTTGTGATTTGAATTTAAACTTATCTTCCTCTTTCCCAAAAGCAATGGAATTTATCTTAAACTCAGGTTCCCAATCCCAACTCACCTCTTTCTGGTGTGTTCACACAATTACTGGTAGTTTCTGGAGAAGAGAAAATGAAGAATTCATTAAATACTCATTTATAGATTGAAATCATGCCTCCCCCATGTTGCAGATTAGAATAAAAAGAGCCATAAAAACTACATATCACCAATTCCCCAAAAGTCCAAGCTCTCTTAATTGTGCAGATTCACTTTAACTCACTGGCCAATGGAATTTAGCCCAAAATTATGAATTTCAAGTTTCCTGCTCTGTCTGTCCCGTGGCCACAGTGGTCCTTGCCAATTCAATTATACTTGAATCTGCACCAGAGCAATAAGAAAAGTGTGAGTTTTGCAAGCAAGAAGACATGCCAGGAATCTCAGCTGAGAATCCCCACTGTTCTCTGCAATAGGTTTTCTTTTAGCTGGAACTTTGTAATGCAAAGCCTCCATTTCCCCTGTTGGAAGGTCTGATAGAACTATCCTTCAGGGTAACTGTGGGGATTAGAGATGAGGGAGCCCGGAGCCTGGGAAGTGGGAGATGCTCAGTAAGCAAGATCTTTTATGGCCATTGTAGTAAGAATCAGGCTATGGTTTTCCCCTCTCCTTTCTTCATGGCCTAGAAGAAATGAAACACTGAGGGGCGCCCCTTCCACTTACTGTAGTTCTCTGCCAGGACAGGCACCAGTCCACACTTGCCCGCGATGTAGATGAAGCCTCCATCCAAGCTCATGGCATCAGCTTCTCCTTTCTGCAAAGACACACAATATCTGAGTAGATGTAAGGAGGCCATTTTCTGGCCTGTCTGCCCTTCCAGGTGTTTCCTTGAAGCATCCTTCCTAGCCCAGGTCATCAAGTACCAAGGAGACAGCTGTTGCTAGTTCTGGGCCCCCTCCTTATGTACTCTCATTTTCACCCAAACCACCTTGAACTGATGATCAGTTCTGAGTAGCTTGCTTAGTTTCTTCAGGAGCAAAGACCCACATTTGGTCTGCCTGTTCTCTAATAGTACAACTCTGTTTCAGGGACATTCCTACAGCATCTTTCTGCCACCAAGGATTCTCTTTTGCAAGACAGATGAATGGAGCCAGCTCTAAGGAGCTCATCAGATCCACACGCTCAAAAATACTGAAGCTTCTGTGCGGCTGGGCTCCCTCAGTGAGGGTAAGGTTCTAACTCGTTTTGCCTAATGAATTAGCTGCCCACATACCTGATTATTCCTGGGTTTTCATATCACTCCCAGGAACACCTGGGACAGGCAGGCAGCAGTGGCAAAGCACTGCCCTATGGAAGCAGGAATGACATACCATGATCATGGCAATACAGTCTTCGGTGGTCTCTGCTGATTCACAGGCTACTTTCCCTTTACTGTTTACACTCCACTCGTCACACTTGAGTCTTTCCTGGTGGCCTATTGCACACCACTTCACAGTATTGCATCCAGCTGTTGAGGGATCCGGGCCTAGGACATAAGAAAAAGAATGGGGTTTCAGATGCAGCACCATGAGCTGCCTGCTACTTTGAATGCTACTAACTGTCTTCATGAAAATGCTGGGATTTGCCCAAACAGATCCCATTCAAGGAATTATCTTAGAAAGCACAGGCAATAACAATCTCTTGATTGACTTCTTATCATTTAGACTTAGTTTAAATTTATTTCTTCTGAGAAGCCAATCATCCTCCCAAATGCCGGGCACTCTATCACTTCAGGCTAGTTTCCCACCCTCCTACCCCCTTTTTATTGAAATAACAGTTAACCACTTGAGCTGGTCTTATTTATTTCTTCATTGTTTATTGTCTATTCCCTGTAGAACAGTGGTTCCCAATATAGGGTACACACTCCACAGGGAGGCAATGTAATTTTTAAGGGAGCAATTCGAGAATGAGTCATTAACAGTGAATTTTTTGCATTTCTTATGTTTCTAGGGGCCTCGTATACAGTATATTAATATATTTTGTGACATTTATGCATTTCAGTTCTCTATTATGTGTTTTGAAACTTTATTTGCTATTTGTTCTTATTCATATTATTATTTTTTAAACAATTTTTTAGTGATTTCTTCCTCAGTATTCAACTGTCCTCTCATTTTTCTCATTCATGATGCCATGTTATTTGGAAGCTTGTTTAGACCACATTAATGGCCTTTTAGGCTTCCTCTGTGTGAATAGGAGTTCACTTTTTGAATAATAAGAATTATATGTCACAGGGGGGACATCAGGATTTTTGAGATGCTTAGGTGGGGCATGACCAAAAGAAGGTTGGGAACTACTGCTGTAGAAGATCATAAGCTCTGCCTGGCAAGGGCCAGGCCTGTCTTTTTCCACTGCACCCTCATTGTTCAGGATAGTGCCTGGCTTGTGGTTAGCGCAATAAATGTCTGCTGAATGAATGAACACTTAACCATCAGACGCAGCTCAAGAGCCACTTCCTCAGGGAAGCCTTATCTTAACTCCAGGACCTGTTTTTGTTTTCATGGTCTCGTAGGATCATGGTATTTTGTCCTGTGCTGTATTTTCTCCTCTTTCTGAGTAAATGTCTCCATTTTAATTGATCATTCAATTGAATGACTATCTATTGAACATTTGTCTTCTTTGCTGGTGAGAAAATTTCATGATAACAGAATCTAATATGTGTTTGTCTCCCCATTATATGCCAGCACCTAGCACAATCTATGGCCAGATAACCGATAATTCTCTGCTGAATGAATGAATGACCAAACAAACCTCCAGTGACCTAAGAAAATTCAGAAACAGGACGGACCTTTCTAGAATTTCAGCCTCACTAGACCACATGTTTACTATTGTACTTGGCTTATATGTAGGAAATTAATTTCATTCTTTTTGACTTTGTGTCAGGCTAATTGGCTTCACAAAGTGGTTGGGGCAGCCCTGATTTATACAAGGGAAATAATGTCCATTTTACATAAAAATTTTCTTTAATTCCCTTTAGTGATACCCAGGCTTATCTCATGATGATGAATGCATCTATCCCACAGGTAGGGCTGATAAAGGAACATCAGGGCAGGTGTTCAGTACCTGAACAGACTCTATCACTGGTCCCTGCCCTCATCAGGTTTCCAAGCTCCTAAGGTCACATGGTCCTTCCCAAGTACTTACGTGTATTTTCCTTCAGATTCTTCATTACAGAGACATACTCATATCCCAGGTACATCCAGGCGTCCATCTTAGGGGGAACCTTTAAAAACCCTTGGGTAGAGTCCTTAAACAACAGGTTTTTCCCCTCAGAAGAGCTGAAGAGCTGGAAGTCTCCAGATGTGCCTCTGCCATAACGTTCCTATTTATGGTAAAACAGCAGTGAATGGTTACAGTGACTAAGTAAGTTGTGAAATGGGACTAAAAGAAACCAAATTCCCGAAAATTAAACTATGAAATTTCCAAATGCCAGGGTCTGCTCTTTCCTACCCATCACCTTTTCCACTAACAGCCATCTGGAAGCTATGCCACATCTTATTTCCCTGAATGTGTTTCTGTACTTATCTCCCTGGCTGGGTTGATGGCTCACTGAGTGCAAGCAAAGTATCTCTGTCAGAGGCTGACACTGTGTGATTGTCACTTAAACTCTTCTTTAAAAAAAAAAAAATATATATATATATATATATATATATATATATATATATACACACACACACACATATATACACACACACACACACACACACACACACACATATATATATATTATTGATTTTTTACCGAGAGGAAGAGAGGGGTAGAGAGTTAGAAACATCGATGAGAGAGAATCATCGATCAGCTGCCTCTTACACACCCCCTACTGGGGATGTGCCCGCAACCAAGGCACATACCCTTGACCGGAATCGAACCTGGGACCTTTCAGTCCGCAGGCCGATAAATCTGTCCACTGAGCCAAATCAGTTTCGGCTGTCACTTAAACTTTTGATGAATGGATGGAAGGGCTGGATGATAGTTGGCTCATTTCTGGCATTCTGCTGCCCTAGGGATGTAAAGCTCATGATGCAAGCAGCTAGCTCCCTTGCAGTCAGGTTGAGGGACATCAAGAAAGAGACCATTTCATTCTGGGAAGTTCCTGGAAGGCCTCATGAGGGCAGGGATGTTTGCTCTTGTCCTAAAAGCCTGATTTAGGTGGAAAGAAATGCAATAGAGCAGTGAGGAGCATCTTCATGTCACTGGTCCAAAATGTAGGAGTCTCGTAGATGATAATGCAGGAATGAGTTCCATACTACTCTGAGAAGAGTCCCTGCTGAGCACTTTTAGTTAAGTGGATGGTGTGTAGCATAATCTCCACTGTGTCCTAGAAACAGGAGGGTCTGCAGTGGCATTAAGGAAATGAAGGAAAATGCCCCAAATCCAAGCAAGGACTACTAAAGAGGGAGAACAGTGGATTTCATACCTGGGCTTGGTTGAGAAGCTCCCAGATCAAGTCCTCTTTGCCATCTACACTTCGGGCCACAACAGCATGGGAAGGGACAATGGCCAGGTGGCACTCCTCATATTTATCTACTGGCTTCCGGGTGTTGTCCCTGCAGAGGAGCTCATACTGGTCCCTCTCAGCCTGGTTTGGAAGATCATCTGAGGGAGGAAAGCCCAGATGAACCTACTGTACGAAAAGCCATCAGCTTTTGGTCCCCTGTCCCCTCCCTTGCAATCCCGCTGCATCATAAAATGTGTGAGCTGAGAAGCCTAGAGCTAACACTGAGGGCCAAAGAACTTAGGGAAACTGACTTGCTCAAGTTCCCACAATTAAGCCAGTTACAGGAGAGGAATTTTCTGATACCCAGTGCAGAGTTAACTGCCCCACATCGCACATTGGTCTCATCTTAGTAGGCCAACTACAGGCCAAGGTTGGCCAGCCTGTCCCCAGTCCTTTGCTATGGCAATATTTAACAGAAGGAAAGGGCCCTGTATACAGGATATTGAATGATGGAAAGAGACCCAGGAGTCCAAGCAGGGACCCCATAGACACATACCTCTGAACATGTAGAAGCCCAAGCAATAATAAAGGAGGAATACTATCCTCAAGTCTGACTGCTAAGCATGAAAAGGGAGGCAGGAAAAAGAGAAGGCCAACTGTTTCATGGGGATCTGCAAATTCTTCTAATAACTTACCCAATACCGTCAAGTGTTTGACAAAGGCCACTTCTCCAGCACCATCCATCAAACACCTGTGAGAAGAAGCACATTAGGAGGGTTTCTGCAGGATAGACCCTTCTCCTGGCTTGAGGGTCTGATCACCTATCCTGCCTGGGACACGGGGAAAGCCTGGTGGAGACCTCTGTGCAGACCAACAGCAGAGGAAGCATCTAGGGTACCACCGATGTGTGAGAGGTGAGCTCCAGGAACTAGAGGGCCCTCACCAGGGGCCCCAAAGCAGCAAAAAGGAATTGAAGATATTTTAGTACAGTGAATATTTTTCAAACTTCTGAAATGGAGAATAAAGACTTAGCATCTCCTGAGGGAGGGAAAAGTACCCTTAGCTTGCTATAAAACCAAGGGAAAAGAAGAAGCGAGAAATGAGCTATGTGAGCTGTCTGCACAGAAGCCCTAAGGGAAGGCAGGAGAGAGGCCAGTACATTGAGCAAGTGATACTGCTGCAGTAGAAAACAGAGAGCCAGTCACTGGAGAATGTCTCAGACACTAGGGATGTTTCTGTCCCCTCAGGCTCTGCCCAGTACCGTGAGAGGACACACTTACCAGATTCAGGGCTCAGGGAAGACAGAAGAGTCCCAAGAAAAGTGGGTTCCTATCAATGAAGCATGAAGGGAGCATGCACTGGCCTAGTCTATCGAGTCCCAGCTGGGCAAGGAAAGGGGGGGGCAGAGCGGGTTAGGTCACCTGAACACTATTGTTCAGGACCAGAGAGGGTTTCCCAGCCTAAGGACATTGAACACTTTGGCTTCCATGGGGCAGCAGCAGGTCTCACTCACTTGAGGGCACCCGAGTAGCCAAAGTACGGTTCATGGTGGGAGAAGGCACACTTGTCTTTCCCTTTCCCAGCGCACAGCTGACACAGTTTGGGGTAGGCATTCGGATCCACACCGGGGACACAGCTGCCCCCGAAGAAATTGGCCGCTGCTGCTCAACACAGAAATGTAGAACACAGGGCGTGAGCCAGCCTGGCCAAAGACAATTTCAGCTCCCAACCCAGGCTCATGCATGAACAGAGAGGGACCAGAACAAACCCAGCATACCAGGCCCAGCTTGCACATATGTGTGTTCACTGGTCAAGATCAAGGTTTCCCAAAAGGGACATGTTAACAACTATTCTCCCATCGCCCTCCCCAAGGACCAGGCCTATGCCTGCCACCAACTAAGGCCTGTCTTAGGTCTTTGTTACCCTCACCGCCCTCCCTGCCTTGTCCCACTGGAACGTCTCAGAGAGACATCTCCCCTGGAAGTCATGCCCAGGAGATGACAGACCCACCTGGACAGATGCATGCCAAGCTCATGGCCAGCACATGGCCACCAGAGAATGCTCCAGCAGGAGGGGAAACACAGAAAGGAAGGCACCCCAGGGAAGTGGACAATAGGGCCCACTGACCTTGGTCCTGCCTGAACCCTCTGCAGGCCTGATAATCTTCCCCACCCACTCCTCCAGGCAGCCTCTGCTGAGGTATCAGAAGCTCAGAGAAGAGAGGACTCAGCGGAACCCTCCCAAGGGCTGCCGGTGTTGCAGACCCAACCAGTTTAAAGCTGGTTAACCTCCCACCTCCACCCCAGGAATCATCACACACGATCACCTGATCATGTCCGAGTGACCTCAGGGTGGCCTATGGCACCTAAAGAAGGGACGTCTGCCTGAGGACACACACCCTCCTGCCTGCTTACCTTTCTGAAGATCTTCCTGTGGCTCAGACAATTCGGGATAGAGTGTGCCCATGGGGATCTTCCACCCAGCAGACCTGTTAATGCCTGTGTGGCAGGACTTCTTGCCTTGAAGCTGGTTCAGCTGGAAGCCACTGCCCTTCTTCACCACGGCCACAGCATAATAGCTGGTTTGTGGATCTACAGAGAGAGAGTGTGACTGGAAGACCCACAACCTGGACCTCAGGGAAACATTGCTCATTACTGCTGGGCTCCTAACTAGGGAAGGGGAACCCACAAGCCACACTTACGATGGGTTGGGTCCTAAGGAGGGAGAGATCAGAATAACTTCCCTAGGTTTGCAGGGGAAAAAAGGACCACAGAGGGGACATTTGTATAACTCTCCGGGCAAACACTGGCCAGAAGGCCACATGTGCATGGGCCTCAGTGATTTTTCCTGTCCTCGCCCTGCAGGTTGTCTACCTACACCTGCCAACCCAAGGCTACCTGGAAACGGGTGATCACATTCCTAACTCCTAAGTATTCCTTGGAACCTAGGGACACAGGCTCAGAGATAGTCAGGTTACTCTCAGAGTGTGTGCTCCAGTGTGGTGTCTTCTGCATGAGGCACCTGTGGTTCTTAGAGGACTCTCTATATAGTTCTGAACTCTACTGGTCCAGGTCACACTATACACAGCCTGCTGCTCTATTTCTTCAGGGAGCATATTTCTTGGCCCAGGAGGTCAGTGTCAACAGCACCAGTCCTCAGCCAGCCCAAAGTCACAGAGGCCTGAGTTGTGCCTGTGGGGACCTATAGGGCACCACATTTCCCACTCACTCCTATATTACCCGTCTAAACAAGACAAGAGTCTTATCGGGAGAGAACAAGGTTCTATAAGGATAGAACAAAGCCAACAAACTCTCTCTTGGATCCACAGGGAAAACTCACTCTCTTTTGACCCGTAGTACTCTGCCACCACAGGTTTCAGGTTGTAGGGGGCTTGGCCCGCATCAAACACCAAACCTCCATCCAATGTCACAGCATCTGCTCCCTTGTTCTGAAAAGGAACAAAACAGACACCAATGAAGCCCTCAATTCCAGGAAAGACCACCTAAACCCAGGTGAGTGAGGGTGACTTTGGGGCCAGAAAAGCCATCAACTTGGCCAGACCACCCACTAACTCGTTTCAGTTGACTCCACCACCCCAGTAGGGGGAGTTTGGCCACCGTATTCCTTTTCCTCCAGCATAGAGGAAGGAATGGATTGGTTTTCTTTTTCCTGATGAGGAGTCAGGTTCTTGGCTCAGAAACCTTTGTTTGATCTTCTAGGATCAACCTGAGCTACAGAGGCTTTACCCGCAGGCCTCATGGTGGAAAGCTGCCCTCCCCACCCCAGGCTGGGTGCACAGCCCAGGCACTGCAGGCTCTGAAGGAGGCTGCAGTCAGTCACTCAGGCCTGCTGCCTGGCCATGCTCTTTCACATGTGTACATTGAGAACCCAGGTGCTCTTCTTTAATGACTTCTTTATGGTGGGCCTTCTCAGGCGTCACTGTGAGGTCCTCCTTATGGGGTTTGATGATACTCTTCTCCACTCAGATTCAGTACTCAGTACTTTTCCTTCCTGTCCTGGGTCCAGATAACTATAGGAGCCCTGCATTCATAGAGTTAGTGTGTTTTTGGATTTAACTTCTTGCTTTACTCTGAATTAAGTGTTAAACAATGATTACTTCCATTGTGACTCATGGTTCATTTAATGGACTTTTCAGACTTGTCACAGATCACTGCTATCCAACACATGCCAACTTATAAGCTGGGAGGTTAGCACATTGCCAGCCAGCAGCCTTCAGTAGCACCATCTTGGAGGCGGGAGCCATTCTGCAGCTGCATTTTACACATTAAAAAACAGAGACAGCCGAAACCGGTTTGGCTCAGCGGTAGAGCGTCCTGCGGACTGAAAGGTCCCAGGTTCGATTCCGGTCCAGGGCATGTACATTGGTTGCGGGCACATCCCCGGTAGGGGGTGTGCAAGAGGCAGCTGGTTGATGTTTCTCTCTCATCGACGTTTCTAGCTCTCTATCTCTCTCCCGTCCTCTCTTTGAAAAATCAATAAAATATACATTTAAAAAACAGAGACACTTGAAATCACTTCTTGAGGCCACATAGCAAGTGAGTCATGGAGCAGGATTCTAATACAGGCAGTATGGGTTTATTTCCTTCATTACACTTTTCTTGCTGGTTGTTGTTTGATGCCTGCACACTGTATCTATAATTAATTTAATAATGCAAAGTATTTAAATGCACTAGGAGTGAAAAATAACAGTTCACTTTAAATGTTTTGGTACCCTCCACTGTATCTATAATTTATTTTCTCTTAAAGTAAGAAGCATTATTTTTTATATATACTCTTAATAACTTCTATCCCATTTTTCTTCAACTATCTTTGATTAAAATAATTTTTAGAAGCCCTTGCCAGTACTCTATGAATAGTTTTTATTGATAGGATTATAGGGCTAGACAAGTATCAACTAGACAAATATATAGTTTGGCTTACATTATTGTTAAATTTCATTTAGAACTACTATTGTCTTATTCCCTATATAGAACATGACACAGATCATGGAGGTATAGCTCCCTATGGGGAGCGGGCCTTAAGCCTGCAGTCAGACTTCCTCTAAGGCCTCCCAGACTGTAAGAGGGTGCAGGCTGGGTTGAGGGAACCCTCCTCACCAAGTGCACTAATTTCATACACTGGGCCTCTAGTACATAGATAAGTCTTAAAACTAAAATAAAAGGGGGTGGGGCGGGAATCTTAGGATTCTGTTTTCTTAGGAAGGGGAAGCACAAATCATTGCAAGTAAGGCCAGAGGGTTCCATAACCCTAAGTGGTGCCATTCCCATAGAATCCAGTGCTGCTGCAAACATAAGCTATTGGCAATAATGAAGTTTTGAGAACTTGTGGTGGATTTGTAGATAGTATTACTTTATATTATTTACATATTTAAAAAGAGGGGCTTGCATAGACCAAAGCTGATCATATTCATAACTCAAGGGTTATAATTAAGCCATGATAGAAACTGAGGTACAATTTAAAAGAAAATAAAAAATAAAATAAAATAAAAAACACACACACAAGCCCTAGCCAGTTTGGCTAAGTGGATAGTGTGCCCACCTGCAAACTGAAGGGTCCCGGGTTCGATTCTGGTCAAGGGCACGTGCCCAAGTTGTGGGCTCAATCCCCAGTAAGGGGCATGCAGGAGGCAGCCAATCAATGATTCTCTCTCATCATTGATGTTTCTCTCTCTCTTCCTCTCTGGAATCAATAAAAATATATCTAAAAAAAATAACAAAAACAAAACAAAACAAAAAAAAAAAAACCTCACAAGTATTTGTATCAAATCACTGGTTTCCGGAGTTAATCAAGCTCTGTTTAGCCGAGTCTGCCTCTCCCACCTCATTGCTCCTTCCAGTATCTGCTTGCTCTGCTCTGTCACCCTGGCTGCTCTACAGCAACTCAAACAGCTCTCCCCTGTGCTAGGGTCTCTACACATGCTACTGTTCACTGCTTGGAATGTTATACCTTGACTCTTGGCTTACCCATGCTCATCCCTGGGGGTCTCGGCTTCATTGTTCTTTCTCAGGGAGATTGTTCCTGACACCAGGCTCTGTCAGAGCATTCTACTTTCCCCCTTCATTTTATGGCACATATTTTGAAATAACATATCTACTTGTTTGCATGCTTTTCTTCTCTCCTAAGAAAAGTTCCTCAAGAATAAGGACCATGTATGTTTAAATTCATCACTGTAGCCCCTTTGCCCAGCCAGCAACTGACACAGGTTCAAATGAGCAGGAACAATGTTGAAGGAGAAGAGGATTTTGGAAAATCTAGAAAACAAAGGGATCAGCTATCATCTGCAATTCTGTCACCATATTTCTCTTCTCTGTGACTATCAATCATCTACCTTCATGATGTATTAAGAACTTCCAAACCATGTTACTTTGATAGCAAACATTCTTGTTTTTTCCCTGAGTTCAGAGAACTTAGTGCCTCAAAATAGCCCCCTTTCAGAGCATGTTGTGTTTTGCTTTAAGACTCATTAAAGATAGCCGCTCCGATGTCCATTTGTAAAGTACATCAGCCTCCAGTGTGTGAGTACAGAATTGTTCCAGAATGCCAGGAGCAAGAGGAAGTGCGGATTGTCTTCCACTCTCCTTTAGGCAGCAGTGACTTACCGCAATGGCCTCAATGCACTCATAGTGGGAGCTCTTCCTCACACAGTCAAGACCCTTTTTCAAATCATCATTTTGATTTTTGAAAGCTGTGCACTTTCTGTCCTCCTGATCTGAGACGGTGCACCATCGCACAGGTTTCTCGGAGACAGCCAGGCACAGCCCTACAGGAGAAAGGACAGAGAGCCTTGTTCCAGTGGGAGAGATAGCAACACCCTCTGAAGGGACCTGAAGGCTACATCCCCTCTGCCCTGTCCTCCTTCAACTCCAGCCCATGATCAGTGAAGGGCACATGTTCCACTGCATTCTGAGGCTGGGACAAGAGAAGCGAATCCTAATGACTTCCCAGGTTCCCACTTTCCCTGAATTGCTGGCATGAGAGAGGGCTTGACCTTCAGTTCTCAATAGGAAACCACAATCTGCTCCTCTGTGTTCTCCGTGCCTTCTTCCCTCACCATCATGGGACTGCAATGGTACATAAGCCTCATCAGTGTACCATGGCATTTTCAACCATCTCAATTGAGCATTGGCTCAATACCGCAGTCAGGAAGCCAACAAGCTAGGAATTACTACTTTTAAGAGAGGCAGGAACTGTGCTTAGAGAGTGATGTTTCAACCAGCCTATCATTAGTAGCCGAGATGCTTAGAAACCAGGCCTCCAGTCTTTGGTCTCTGCCCAGGGAACTAAAGAAGATAACATTCTGAGTTATTTGCATCTGGTTGGCCAGTAGGTAGAGATAAATGGCTGATGAGATAATGAATTTGTCTGTGACACCATCTATCTTCCTTTGTCCCAGGAATAACTAGGAACTCCACAGAGGCAGTGTTTCCAATGACCCTCAATTTTCACCAGTCCTTTGGGCTGCAATTAGGAGAAGCTAAAGTCAGCCATGTCTGTAGCTACTAAAATCCATGTGGTTACAGATGTGTTGTCCCCATCATGTGAGCTTTGGCATTGTTCCCCAAACCCTCTGTTATCTCTACTCTCCTTGGATCAACTATTGAAATAATTTAAGGAAGCCGCTGAATATCCACAAAGCAGCAGAGAGGGAGGGCAGCAGTTCCCAGAATGTGTAAGAAGGAACTTTCTGCCCCAATATCCTTTATCCCAACTCTGCCCTGGGAAACCACAGGGGGCCTCAGGAGCCAGGGGCAGACCCTTCCCAAACTGCCCCTCCTGAGGATTCCCTGGGCAGGAATGTGTCTTAGTCATGCATTTACCTTGCACAGCCTTATGAGATCTTTGAGGTGGGGGGTGGGATAGGAGTGAGGCAAAGGCAAATAATGTGAGACCGACTCTCAAGGGTAAACTTATTCAGGAGAGACAAATGACTGAACATGGAAGTCTCCAAAGGTAAAAGTAAGAGGAGAAGGGGGCCCGTAATCTCTGGAGGTGATGAGAGTGGGACAGGCCAACCATTGGCAGCCCCCATTGCAGGGATGTGTGCAGCAAACTCCACCACTGCCTGGATCCATGGCCTCAGTTTTCCTCACCTACCCTCCCTGGCCAGGCTGTACTACCTTCCTCACTGGTGAGGACCCAAGAAGTCTGTTTTAAATCCCACACTCCAGACTCCTGGACTGCTATGCATCAGGACTTTGTCAGCGCCAATGGCTCCAACGAGTCGTCATATTTCCAAAGAGGAGATCAGATCCACCGAGGCCTTGAATGCCTCGCTAAACCATTTGGACTTGATTGAGACTCTCCAGAGAAGGAATTTGATAAACTGTGATGGGAGTGCTCTAATTCATTGTATTTCTCTATTACAAGATTTACTGTACAGGGAGGAGGAGGAAAAAGCAAGAAGAGCATGAAAAAGTGCCAGGGGCACAAGCAGGACCAGCAGGCGCATGTAGGCACAAAGCTATCCCTGAGGCAGTGCTGAAGCAGGTGCAGAGGTGCCATGGGGAAGAGCTGAGGAAAGGCTGTGTCTCTCCAGCCCCAACGAGGGAACATGGAGCCCAGGGGGCAGTGTGGCTGGGTCCAGAGTATAAGGGGCCTTCCCTGTACCCACACTCACCGAGAATCCCGCAGGCCAGCAGGGCAGGGATGGTGAGCCTCATCCTCCGGGTCTGGGTCTGCGGGGTGGAGCAGCAGGCACAGACCAGCGGTCTTCTGCGCTGCCTCTTAGTGCCCCTCTCCCCTTTATCCCTGACCAGGGTGACCAAACACAATCTTTGACCTCCTGTGTTTGCACAGCCTCTTGCCCAATCACCCTTCATTCCTCACCCCCGCTCCCCTCATTTCCTGAGATCTGGGTCAGACCCCTGGAAGGAGTCCAGCACAAAAATGCTGATTGGAAGGAAATTAAAGAAAAACCAATTCTTTGTTCATGTGTGCTGCCTCTGTGCAGGAGTGGAGCTGCAGCTGGTTGAGGCTGGGGAGGAGAGGGAGAGGGAAGGGTGGGGAATGGGTAGCTCTGTTCTTGAATCCCAAGATGGCAGAGCTAGTCCTGCCTCAGTCCTAGGTGCTCATTGCACCGATGAAAGAGGGAAGGGAACTGCCCAGATCCAGATTAGAACCAGAGAATGAAAGGCAAAAACCTACCTGGGGAGTGTGTTGAAGAATAAAACTGGCATCAAGTTCAAAACAAAACAAAAAAACAGGCTCAACACCCTTCGTTTGTTGGGGGGTGCGGGGGGTGGAGGGGACTGCTTTCTCCCCATGTGCCCTGCTGAGCCAAGGCTCCTGGACTAGAAATCTTCTCTCCCTTCATGCGGCTTTCTGGACATCTTGGTCCAGGGTCAGAGTCACAGGAGAGACAAATTCTCTCCCATAAGAAGCTGCCCAGGAATGTGGTGTAGATTCTGAGAGACTCAAAACAAAGTGACACATGAGCTCAAAGAAAGAGACCCCTGGGAGGATGTGGCCTTATCTCAATGACCTGGGTCACCCTAACTCTCCAGCTAAGTAGTCTCCAAAAGGTTTTGATTGCACAACTTTATTAGGAAAAAAAAAAATAGTGACTTTTTAAACTAATATATCAATATTTAAGCTTTTAAAACAAATATAAGCTTTTCTTATACATTTCTATTCTTTTCATAATTGAAAGGCATTGAGGGGAGGGAGTTTGGCTTCATGTGAGGACCTTGAGGTACGGAGATGAAGATGGAGAGGAAAATGAGGGGCAGAACTGGCTGGGAGAGGACACTGCAGAGCAGACATGCCTTCCTTAGACCCTACAGTGAGCTTTCAGAATCTGCCTGGAAGTAGGATGGAGAGTTGCTAAATGTTGAGCTAACCCACAAACTCAGGAAAGCTTGGTGGAGGCCATGGAAGGTCAGTGGACCATGATTCTCCTCCCTGGGCCCCTACTGCACTCACATAGTGAGCCTTTCCTGAGGTAGCTCCTCCAGGGACAGGCATAGGCTAAGCCCCTCAAAGGGAGCACCATCTGGCCAGCCCTATGCCCCTCAGTGGAGCCCTCTGAGTCCAAGCCCATACAGGTGCAGAGGAAGAAGGTCAGATGAGACATGGACAGCAGGAGCCCAACATCATCTAGTTCTTGCTCAGCAGGAGGACAGAAAAAAATCCCTATGTCTGCCATTCCTTGGAGGAAGGGGGTGAGGCAGGCTGTGGGGTGCACATGTGCTATACCCTGGTTATATGGCTGTGCCCACATCTGTAAAGAGTATGGGTGTGTGTGAAGGTAAAAGTTAACATGACAGTGTTTCATGTCCATGACACTTATCCCTGTACTCTCCCTTCTTATGTTTAATTCTACATTATAAGCACTCGAGTCAGAAAACTCATTGTCCCTCACCACTTAATGATGGCTAACACTCACTGAGAACTCTATTGGATGCTAACCCTCTGTGATGGGTGCATTTGAATCCCAATTTCACAAATGAAATTAGGAAACTGAGGCCCTGAGAGGTTAATAATGTGTCCAAAGTCGACTGGTGAGTCAGATGCAAAATCGTGAGTCTGGTTCTAGAAAGTACATATCCATTCGCCAAGGACACTCCCTCTCCCAGGAAACAGGGACACACAGAGCTCATAGGAGTGAGGGATAGACAGGGCACTCCCAATCCTGCAGTTTCTCCAGAAATGCAGCCCCAGGTTTCAATCTGCAGAGGGCCTGGTCCATCAACTACCCCGATTGCAGAACTGCAGGCATGCCCTGGCTTATGCTCAGATGGAAAGTCTCATGTTTGCAGCCTTTCCATGTGCCAAGCACTGTTTCTAACCCTAACCATTGTTTAAATGTGGACACTACAGTGAAATAACAGGTCTTCGTTCACTTGAACTCAGATCTCCTAAGTGCCCCAGCCTTCTGCAGACCACAACTGCCTTCTTGGTTTTTTTTTGTTGTTGTTGTTGTTTTTTGTGTGTGTGTGTGTGTGTTTGTTTTAATCCAGAAGAGGAGAGAAAGGGAAGAAAGGAGGAAAGAGAGAATATGAATATGAGAGATTTTCCATTTACAGAACAATCCAAGTCATGACCTAAATCTTCTATTATAAACTGAATGAAAGTCTTAAATTTCAACAAGATTGGCCCCCTGTAGAAAGAGCTGAACTTGTGTGTACGTGCAGGGGTGTTGGGTAGCTGACCTAAAGAGGGTGGGCATTAGTTTTCTGAACCAATATTTGTTGTTTCCAAATGTTGCCTCATTTACAAAGAAACAGAGCAAACAAAGAGCCTCTGTCTGCTTAAACCAGTTCCTCCTCCACCTCCTACTCACTGAACTCTGCCCAACAACAGGGCCTTCTCTAAAAGACCTGGCTCTGGGTCATAGACTCCTATGCTCATAGACCTGTTATCCCATAGCCCTGTGACTCAGGGAAAGTGTGGTGAGCACCAAGAGTGGAAACCAAGGGCAATTTTCCCTTTATAAACATGTCAGATAATTTGAAATGCCATATACCACCACCTCTCTCTCTTACCTCTCAGAAATCTCCCAACAATGATTCTCAAGGTTTCCATTCTTTCCCCAAGGGATCCATAAAAATATCCTTTTGTGAAGAATAGCCCAGGGACAGATAGCTTCACTGATGAATTCTACCAAACATTTAAGAAGAATTAGACAATCTGACAAATACATCCAGGGAACAGTAAAAGAAACATTACTCCCTGACTACTTTTTGAGGTCAGTAAGTATAGTTGGAAAGCAAAAACCATGAGGATATCATGAAAAAAATTTAGAATTACCTTTTATGAACATAGATGTAAAAATCCTAAGCAAAATGTTAGCAAATTGAATCCAGCAATATCAAAAAATGATAATTATTACTAAGTTGGGTTTATTCAATGAATACTATTTGAAAATCAATCATGTAATTGATCACATTAACATAATAAAGGAGAAAGTTATATGACCATATCATCTGTATAGGAAGTGTTTGATAAAATTCAACATCCATTCATTTTAAAACCTCCTAGAAAACTTATTCTACGAAACTTGCTTAATCTGTTGGATCTGTGTGTGTGTGCGTATACATCTGTATTAATATATACACATACATATAATATATACAGATACACACACACACACACTGAGTGGCCAGATTATTATGACCACCTCATCAGTACTTCGCCACCTTTTGCCTTCAATACTGCGGCAATTCTTCTTGGCATTGACTCCACGAGATGTTGAAAGGTGATGCAAGGAATCTGACACCATGCCTGATGAATAGCACTGTCCAGTTCTGTGAGATTTGATGGTTGTGGAAGCAGCTGCCTGATGGCTCTTTTAACTTCGTCTCACAAATGCTCAATTGGATTGAGATCTGGTGATTGTGGGGGCTACCTAAGCAAGTTAAAGTCTCCCTCATGTTCTTGAAACCACTCCTCACAATACGAGCATCGTGGCATGGTGTATTGTCTTGTTGGAAGAAGCCATCTCCATTGGGATACACCATCAACATGATAGGGTGAACTTGATCAGCAACAATACTTAGGTATGTTGTGCTATTCAAATGTTGTTCCACATGAACTAAAGAACCCAAATCATGCCAGAAAAACATGCCCCATACCATAATACTGCCCCTACCAGCAGAAGGATTGTACTCATGCATGTGGGGTGCATGTTTTCATGCTGTTTCCACAAAATTCTCACTGTGCCATTTGCATGATGCAACTGGAAATGTGATTCTTTGGACCACATGGTTTTTTTCCAATGCTCGACTGTCCAATCCTTGTGTTCCTGTGCAAATTGGAGATGTTTTATCTTGGTAACTGCAGACAGCAAAGGTGTTCAAACAGGCCTTCGGCTTCCATATCCCATATAATGCAGTGTGCTAATTTGCCTGAAAACATTAGGTGGTCATAATAATCTGGCCATTCAATATATATATATAAGCATATATAAAAGAAATATTTTATATACAAAAGATATCATACTCAGTGGTGGAATAGTGAATGAAAGCTTTCCCTTCGAGATAATGAAAAAGATCAGAAAAGTCTATTATCATTTCTATTCAATACTTTTACTTACAGTCCTTGCTAGTACAGGCAGGTAAAAAAGAAAAAAAAAATATGTATATATGTATAAGTATTAAAAAGGAGGGGAAATTATTTTTACATGTGATATATGATTGTACATGTATAAAATTCTAAAAAAAATTATTAAAAGAAAGAAAAATGTTAGGCAATATTAGGCTGGATACAAAAGTCAATTGTATTTCTATATACAAAATGAAAAGGACCATGAAAGTGCAATATAAAGTAGTATAATAATTACAAATGCCTAGGAATTAGTTTATCAAAAGATGTCTAGCTGAGACCGGTTTGGCTCAGTGGATAGAGCGTCGGCTTGGGGACTGAAGGGTCCCGGGTTCGATTCCGGTCAAGGGCATGTACCTTGGTTGCGGGCACATCCCCAGTAGGGGGTGTGCAAGAGGCAGCTGATCGATGACACTCTCTCATCAATGTTTCTAACTTGCTATCTCTCTCCCTTTCTCTCTGTACAAAATCAATAAAAAATATATTTTTAAAAAAAAAGATGTCTAAAATTTGTATACACCAAACTATAAAATATGACTGAGTAAAAATAAGGAAGCTTTAAGCTAATGAAAGGTTATACCCAAAACATAGAGTGGAGACCCAATATCATATAGATTTCAATTCTCTCTGAATTAATAAATAGATTCAAGCACTTCTAGTCTAATTCCCAATAAGTGTTCTATATTTTTGGGAATTGACAATATAATTTTAAAATTTATATGGAAGTGAAAAAG